GACTAGCAGAAACCATGTCAGACAACACGGCAGAAAGCATCCTCGTCCCCTTCTTGGGGGCTTTCCAAGCTTCCTTATCGGTGCTCCTCACCATTTCCGCCGGTGTCATTGCCGCCCAGTATGGCCTCCTCGACGACCGTAGCAGCAAGAAGATTTCGACCTTTTGCGTTCGAATGGCCCTTCCTGCTCTCCTGATTACGAATGTTGGTTCGCAGCTTGACCTCGAGACTGTAAGTATCCCGGGCCCACCCTTCGGCACCTTGAATCCGTCTCGTCTGACCCATCTACCAGGGAATTCGATACGTCCCCATCATCATCTGGGCCATATTTTACACTACAGTGTCAATTGGCATCGGTTTCGTCTTGACAAAGGTCTTTGGCATGCCCGACTGGGTCATTCCGGCCATCGCCTTCAATAACACGACCAGTTTGCCCCTCTTGCTCGTGCAATCCCTCGACGCCACCGGCATCCTTAGCTCCATCGATGACAGCTCTGGCGTCGTCACCAAAGCCAAGAGCTATTTCTTGGTCAATGCCATGATTGGCAACTCCCTCACATTTGCTCTGGGACCGAAACTCCTCAACGGCCAAGAAGAGGAAGCCCCTGACAAGAACGAGGGAGACCAAAACGACGATGAAAATGACAGCGATAGCGAAGAAGATCTCGAGTCCCAAGAGCAGGACGCCGTCGAGCACAACGAGCAAACCTCTCTTCTCCCAGACCGCACCGTGACCAGAATCACCCGCACAAAGTACCGCGTCTACGGCAAGGGCAGCAAATACTGGTCCAACCTGTCCCCGACATCCCGCTCCATCCTCGAGTTCCTGTACAGCTTCGTCAACGCCCCCGTAATCGGCGCGCTCATCGGCGCCCTTCTCGGCCTCGTCCCCGCTCTCCATCGCCTCTTCTTCAACGAGCCTGAGGAGGGCGGTTACTTCAACGCCTGGCTCACCTCCTCGGTCAAGAACGTCGGCGAGCTCTTCGCCGTGCTGCAAGTCATCGTCGTGGGCGTGAAGCTGTCCAAGGCCATCTTGCAGTACAAGAACGGGGAGGACTCCAAGGAGAGCAAGGTGCCTGTGGTGCCGTTCCTGGCGGTCACGTTTGTTAGGTTCATTCTCTGGCCCGTCATCTCGATTGGCGTGATTTATCTCTTGGCTAGCAGGACGGAACTCTTGACCAAGGATGCGCTTTTGTGGTTCTGTTTGATGCTTATGCCGACTGGACCTCCGGCTATGAAGTTGTCTGCGCTGGCGGATGTTGATGGGTCTGAGGACTCTTTGAAGATGTTGATTGCCAAGTTTTTGACTGTAAGTTGACACCTCCTAGCCTCTTGCCCTCCGACACATGGGATATTTGCTGACAAGATTTCAGATGTCTTATATCGTATCACCCCTGATCTGCTTCACGGTGGTTGGTGCTCTGAAAGCAAGCGAGGCCATTGTTGCCAAGTAGACACTCAGTCTTTCGTTTCTTGAATCAATTTGGAGAGATTGATAGGTGCTTCTCGTAATCCTAGGACATAAGCATGTTCCTGGAGCAGGTACATTAATTAGCCATCTATAAATCGATAAGGTCTGCTCATGATGGGCAAGCCACTCACACAATATCTCACTGCGCCTGCACTTATTCACTAATTGATCGATGACATTTGCTTCGCAACTTCTTTCGACTCTTCCTATTCACTACTACCATACCCGATCGTTACTGTACCACGCTGGACTCTATTAAACCTTCACTGATGCCACGTATCACATTCTTCCTACTGAGATTCGTCTTCTTTGCCCACACTTGCCTCTCGCATCTTGAATGGGGCTTACAGGATTTCGCAACAGTAATATGGTAAACTATCCTCCAGATAATTGAAGGGAATTGTCGACTCTGAGGAAGAGCTAAGCAGATTTCAAGCTCTCTTACATGTCTAAAAAGGCTTATACCCAGTAATGTTGGACTTTTCTAGAAGATCACGGTAAGGCATAATGCTCACCAGACAACAAAGTCATGAAAGGATAGAGACTTTGATAATTCTGATTTGCTTTCAACCTGAAGGACTAACTACAGGTGCAAGACGTGTCTTGACACCTCTGATGCCTTTGTGCTCATCCCAAGTCTGCTAAGCTCAACAGCATCGTACGTACTGACTTGGATAGCCATGACTTTGAGGCCCGGACGAGTTGCCCAAGTCCGAGCATCCCGAGTAACGTTATCTCCCTTCACTACCCCTGTACTCAATGCCAACTAGAAGCTCTCCGTGATAATGTGATTCACTCATGAACCTCCCATCCCGTCTTCACCATCAAGGCCGCCTCTCTTCAAGTATCCGCTTCTCACATGACTTCCAGCGCCTTCTACCTCGCCCACCACCCTGAATATTTCCAAAAAGGAAAAAGGCCTTCCTTCCAGAACAAAAACTCTCTTTTCCAAAATCATCTCCATATCCATCTTCATCTTCCCCCGCGGACATCGTCAATTCATCAGTTCGCGAAGATGTGGTCTGGCAACGATAGCGGACAAGCTACCGTCCTTAGACGCAGACGTCGCAGAGGCGGTAGAGTTCGCAGAGGCCGCAACACCGCGATGGCAGTCGAGAATAACGCGATGGAAGTCGACGATACCGCCATCGATATTGACGACACCGCCATGGACGTCGATGTCGACAATGCCACCGTGGACGTCGACAACATCACCACGGGCGTCAACCACATCAACATGGCGAGCACCAACAATCCCGCCATCACCGACGCCCAGCGCCCCTGCATTCTCCTCACCATTCCCTACGAGATCCGCTCCAAGATCTACATCGAAGTCATCAAGGGCTCCAACGTCACCTGCGACAGCATCGTCCTCGTCCGCAACAACCGCCGCCTTCGCGGTGGCCCGGTCCCGGCCTGGGCAGCCACCGCAGAGCACAGCGACTTCCTCCTGACCTGCCGCCAGATCTACGACGAAGCCCGCCCCATCTACTGGGCCCGCTCCCTCGTCGACTCGGGCGCGCAGCGCTTCCCGACCATGGCGGACCTGTTGGGCCCCTTTGCGCGCCAGAATGCCGAGCACATTCAGGGCATCGTCGGCAACCTCAGATATTCTGAGCAGTCTGCTGAGTTTTTGGAGTCTTTCCCGCGCGCCAAGACGGTTCGGCTTTCTGATAGCTTTGTCACGCACTTTTCGTACGAGATGTTTGTGGGTGTCACCAAGGACGATGAGTCTGTTGTTGCGCATATCAAGAATAGAATGGAGGCCAAGGGTTTGGACAAGTTGGTTGCTGATGTTCAGTTCGGCCGGGGCGTGCAGTTCTTGGTTGCTGCTATCTTGATTGGACACCCTGTCAAGGGCGACGGTACTGTGGTTAAGGATGAGAAGCACAAGCACAAGGTCAGTTTTATTTCGTTCGTCGCTGAGTTGAAGCTCGAGCTCTATTGGGATATGTCGAGTGTCGTTTCTTCTTTTCTCTCTCTTTTGATTCTCCTACCTTGCGACTCGGGCCTGCATGCTGACCCTGATTCTTTTCAAACTTTAGCATTGCTTCTACAACATGACTACTGGCAAGCTCTTGATCGTTGACACCGAGATCCACCGCGGCTCCCTCCGCAAGTTCGACGAGGACCATATCGACCTTGGCAATTTCGAGCAAGTCTTGGAGGGTCGCTATCTTCGCGGTATGATGTAATGGACTTTCTTGCCGACGCCTGATAATACCGTGCCATCGTTCGAAAAGTTGAATACGTGCATTGTCCCATCGACAGGGAATCGAAGCCTGAAGAGGGTCGATGCATACGGCATAGGGGCTACGAGAGTCAACGTTGTACCATTGAAGGGGTCTTTCTGGAATGAATGAAGAAGGATGGACAGAGTCTTTCAGTCTGATAACAAGAGATACGAAGACTACTATTGATACATGATCAAGCATTTGCGGTCTCATACAATGCAACTCGTGACACGTGATCGCAAAACTCCTGGAGCCCTCATGATTCAATCACCACTTCAATGGGCCTGGCTTCCTGAGCAGGTGAGTAAAGCTTGCCAGCTAATGAGGAATGTGACAGTTATAAGTCAAGTGGACTCCGTCATACGAACGAACTTGGGTAAGCGGCAGGATGCGGACTTAGCGGGAAGAAAGGAAGTCAGCAAGGATGCCAAGTGAGCATTTAAAGTCCTGTCACACCCTGACGATTGATCGACAAGTTCATCTGGAAGCACGGGCTAGCTGTAATTGATACTGACTCGCCTCATTCCTTCGGCTGTGCTGACTCGGGTTATAATCGGGGGCAGAATGTAGGAAGATGCGTCTTTTGATTCATTTGATTGGCGGATTTGGCCTAGATTTGCACTCGGAATTAATTGCGTTGGTGTCTACTGAATACTTTCTCATCAATCTTGATACAATTGCCAAGACTGTTTCATATTGGAAGGACTCTATATCATCAACTATGTGGGGTGGCATATTGAGTAGGAAGATATAAAGAAACACATCTTGCTCACACAATGGAATGCAAATGGCCTCATCAACACATCTGCCCGACAATAGTAAGCAACCGAACCATCTTAATTCAGTCCTCCAACCAATCGACCTCTACAAAATGCAGTTCCAAACTCTCTTTGTTGCCGTTGCCGCCCTCATGGCCGCGAATGGCGTAGCCGCCAACAGCTGCTCAGTCTGGAATGGCAAGTCATGCCCTGCCAACCAACCTCGGACCTGCGGCGACGGATGTTGCTGCGAAGTGGCCGTCATCGGTTGCACGTGCTAGATGGAGGAGGTAAGGATTTTATCTACACTATTCCATCATCGTTTGAAAACTTCTGACTGACAAGAACGTCGTAGGACTGAAAAGAGGCCATGCAGGCTTAGGTTCACTTCCTGACCTTAATCAGGCGTCTCTGCATAACAGGAGAACGATAGATCACTAGAGTTGTAGATTCTCAGGGCAGCTCATGCCCCTTCTTCGGACGTTTTCTCATGATGAAAACCTGTGCCATGGCCCAGCAAAGAAACCCAAATAAACAACTAGAAATACCTCTCATAAGCCTTGGCCGCATCCAGAATCATCTTATCAAAAGTGATCCAACACTGTCCAGTCGCCTTTGAAGCTTTCGATGCATCGACCCTTCGTGACTCAGGTGGCTCGCCGTAGTCTTCCAGATACCCCTTCCCAGGCTCTCCCTCCTGGATGATATCCCTCCTCTCAGGATACGCCTTCCTCAACAGGTCGCAATACGCCTGAATGTTGGCAAAGTTACCGTTCCCACCAGCGATGAAGCGTTGCCCATCAGCCACGTCCGGTCTATCGGCAGCGAACACAATAAGACGCCCGACATCCCGGGCATCAACGTGCGTCCCGTTGCCAGGTCCCACAGGCGGCACCTCTTCGCCGCTCATGACGCGATACGCAATAATGGCAGTATCACTCAGCCTCTTCGGGTCCTCGGGGAGGATAAGCGGAGGGCCGGCAACCCACACGGGGTTGACGGCCGTCATGCTGAAGTTGATCTTGTCCTTATTCTTCTCCTTGAAGTCCCAGAAAGCGCGCTCTCCCTTCACCTTACTGGCGCCGTAGATTTGGTGACCCGTCGCCTCGGAGCCCGCCTTCTCGAGAATCTCCTCCGCCTCGTCGTTCCAGTCCGCTTCCGAGACAACCCGCCCCTGGAACTTGGGACTCGAGCCGCGGATCGCCACGATGGACGACATGTACACGAATGACTTCAAGCCGGTCACGTTTATCGCTGATTCAAGGATGCCGAGCGTGCCCTGCACGGCAGTCCCCAGGACCTCCTCGACATTTGTGTTGGTGAAGTTGACGGGTGTCGCGAGGTGGGCTATGGAGGTGACGCCTTTGAGTGCTTCGTCAAAGGCACCTGGGACGGTAATATCTGGGACGATGGCTGTGGACAGCTGGCCCGATGCGGCTTGCAAAGGGAGGGCGGCGGTGAGTTCGTCTGCGGAGCGCTGGGTCCTGACAGCGGCGCGGACGGAGTAGCCGGCCAGGAGGTAGGCTTCAACTGTCCGGGCCCCGATGAAGCCGTTTGCGCCAGTGACTAGGGCAAGACCTTTTGTTGACGACATCGTTGGGTTTCGGTTGATGTCTGTTGAGATGAAGGGGATTCAGTAGAGGGTCACTGTAGCCTAAGTCAGTACTTTACTTATGTTGCTGGATCGCGGGCTGTAATTGAAGTTGTATAAGTTGAAAAGAGCATATGGAGTTGATTGAGTGACATATGTTAGGTCTTGGCCCGGCTTTAAACGCTAACTACGACGCAATGGACCGATGGTCTTATCGCCAGTTTATCCCCGTGTCTTTGTCAGACATTCGTCCACGGATAGAGTAATGACGCTTTTGTTTCCTAGCGTGCAGCGAGGCGCTTTCGGACCCGGTCAGATTTTGGCGCGGTACTCATTCGTAAATCGGCAAAGGGCTTTGGACGAGGTTGGACGAGGTCAGATTATGAGCAAACACGCCATTTCACTTCTTATTACATGGTTTTAAGTGGTGCTACGTGTGACATCACGGGCCATGCGAAGTTCTTATCATTTTGCTCAATTGTCGCTGTCATTTGTATTGCTGTATAAATGCCTTATCCGAACCTGTCTACCTGAACCGTTTCTTTAGAGACTTAGGTAAAGAAGATGTGTCTCGCGAATTATTTGTCGAGTCCTCCGGCCTCACGGACGGCAGACTGCGCATTATTGGCATGAGATCCAGTCTCGATCATCTTGGCCACCTCCGCATCATCATGCGGTGCCCTCAGCTTGCCCACAGTCGTAAAGTCATCCCGCGGTCGCTTTACAATAATACCCTCTCTTGCCTCACCCAACGCGCCACCAACACCAGCCTGGCCCGTCCTAAGCGCAGCGAGCGACTTATGGCGCTCCGAGAGAAGCTCGTCCTCGGCCTCCCAGCTAAGCGAGAGCAGCGCGTTCTCCTTGGGACGGACGGCCGGGTGGGTGAAGAGGGATAGCACGCAAGGTCTCTCGCCGCTGGTCTCGGTGTTGCGGCCCGTGCCGTGCCAGATGCGGCCCTCGAAGATCATGGCGGTGCCGGCGGGCGCCTCGCAGGCGATTGTGCCCTCGCTGGTGAATACGTTGCGGGGGCGAACGTTCTTGTTGTGCGAGCCGGGGAAGATGCGGGTGCCGCCGTTCTTCTCGGTGAAGTCGCATAGGAGCCAGGAGATGTTGAGGGCGCAGGGCTTGGTGCGGCCGTGGCCCATGATACCTTGGTCCCAGTGGAGGACTTGAGGCATACCGCCGGGGCGGGCGATGTTGATCTGTTGTCATGGTGTTAGTCTTTTTGTCCTTTCTTGTTGGATGGAAAGAATGCATACGTTGTAGGACCACAAAAGGGGGTTGTTGCAGCCGAGGTACCACGGCACGACCTCATCAATCAGGGGGTGGTTCAGTAGGTCGAGGAACTCCTCTCCCTTGTTGAAGATGTTCCAGATGCGCTGGTTGGGCTTCTTTGGGCCGCCATCGAACGTTGCCACGCCAGCATTACGTTCGCCGGCAGCCTGCTCCTGGGCACCCTTCTTGAGGATCGCGACTTGCTCGGGAGTGAGCGCGTTCTTCATCAGACCATAACCCCACTTCCTCAAGTCACGCTTGACCTGCTCGATATCTTCTGTCGGTTTGGGCAGCTCGTCGAGGTTGAGCTCGTCCTTTGTCGTCGGGGCATCCGTGGGATTCGGAGTGATGAGGTCTGCGAAGCGGATGGCCAGGGGGTAGTCTCCCTTGGTGGGGACGGCCGACATAAATACGGCGGTCTGCGGGTCATCGCGGCCCTCGACCAGGTCCTCGAAGCGCTCTGGGCGCCATGTGAGCTCAAAGGCGGGCTCGGCGCCGTCGGTGGGGGCCGAGTCGAGGAGCTTGACCGGGCTGGAGCGGGCGTCGATGTAGACGGGATCGGGGTCCGTGAAGTCGCCTTCGGCAAATGTCACCTTTGCCAGTACCTTGAGCTCTTGGAATGCCTAAACCCCGGTCACTCTCGTGTTAGTAAAAGGGGTCCCTCCAATGGTTGACCTCTTCGTGGGGTTATTACCTGTAGCTTATCGGCAAGGATCAGCCGTGCGAGGTTGCTCTGTGCTGTAAAGCGCTGAGCCTTATTTCCGTAGCTGACGGAGCTGAAGTCAAGGGCCCCAAGGGGCTTGGAGGGTGCTGGCATAGACATCTTGTTGTTTGAATTAGACGCTGAATGAATGCTCGAGGATAGTAGTTGATTGAAAGGTGAGGTTGATTGGAGAGTGATACAGATCTTTGCTACTGTCGGGAAACTCCAAATAGTTATACGTTCAGAGGCGATGCTGCTAGGATGAGAGTATTCGCTTCATGTCTGGGCATGTCGCCTCGCAACTCTAATCGAGTTGTTGTTGAAGCAACGCCATACGCGAATGAAGCGTTACAGACTACAGCATCGTAGACTTTGACCGATGCCGTGCTCGTGTAGCTGCGCCGGGCCCGGGTGGTGAACAGAGTTGCAATGTTTCTCAATGTCAGCTCCCCCAGTTTCTCGGTCTCGGTCTCGCTCTCAGTCGTTTTACATGATTAAGATTGGGCTTGACGTCGCACTCCCCCACAAAAACCCTGGGGTCGCGGAACTCAATTATAATCAGCGCTTGCAAGCCAGTGCAGCAATCACTAATAAGAGACTCAGGATTACTCCGTACGTTTAAAGAAGGGCTGTGTAGGCGCTACTAAAAGGCATCACGTTGTATGGCCCTGCGCCGGTAGATAATCAACGTAACCCCTTGCTAGCGTCAAGGATTTAGGATAGATGACTTTATAAACCTTCGTGCGGGATGCGCTGATTAGCCCCTTGGCTGCCACGCTGCATAATCGTAGTCGCTGCTTATTTATATTGTTGCCGCTAACAGCTTGTATCCATACCTCGCTCTCGCACTCTATCGTCGGCCGGGAAGCATATTAGAGCTTGGTACCACAGTAGCTAGGAGCTTGGTTTACCTCGCCTCGTCCCTGCGCCCCCTTATCCCCTCATCGCTATATCGCAGAAGCTTAAGTCCGCGAGACGATCCAGCGGACGGCGGCAGTTGAAGCCCCGATCCGCGATTTGGCGTTCTTGGCTTCGGGCAGTAACGGTTCCCGGGCCGTTCAGGGTGGATTCCGGGGCACTCCGTACAAGGGAGCTTTTCGCCGAGTGAGTCGCTCGGCGGGTCTAGTTGGTGGGTATCGCAATCCATCAGTGGGTCGTACCTCTTTGATTCTTCTCGCAGTTGTTGTTCAAATCGATGGCAATCTTAGCTGCTCGTTTCTTTCGATCTTGTTACACAGCTGGGTGTACAGTTCATCTCGAAGAAGTCCTTCTGGATCAGAGTACTTAGCATATTTTCTTCCCTTCTTCGTACATGAACATTTGACTACGAAGTCTTGCTGATATGCTGGGAGGTCGTGTAAGTTTCGGTGTGACGCGTGATCAAAATTGGTGCTACATTTGGTATCAGAATGTCTCTCTAGAAAGATCCGTTTCTTAGTTCATCGAGTTCAACCACCACCACATAAGAGTCACCTCGGAAGTGCCCCATAAGAGCGTATTCTAAAGCAGTGGCTAGGGAGATGAAAGGTAGAGTAATCTTCTACTTCTCCATGCAAATCACGTACTTAGTCAGTCACTAAGGAGCCAACTCGCTCTCGTGACTCGTCCTCGCTCTCGCGTCCCCTGTCCTCAGCCACACATAGAGCTTATTACGAACCCCATAGCCACTAGCTCCTAGCCAATGGTCTTGCACAATGTCCGCACATTGACCGCGATCCGCGGCCTCATCTTCGCCTTCGTGTTAGCTTGCACAAGACATGGCTCGTGACCTGGCTAGCAGGCGGACCAAAACTTGTCCGTAGATGGCAATGAGAATATCGACAGGACTATATCTGGTTTATCTCCCAGGTCTCTGATATCACACTCCTCACCTGGGACTAAACCTTCTTTAAGTTTGTTCATCGTTGCAGCTCTTGGCACCTTCACGACGAAAATTCAAAATGTTACGAAACAACTTGATACGGGCGCTTTCTGCACTTAGCTTTGCATTTGGTGCCATCGCTTCGAATAGTTCATGCAAGTGTGTAAGTCTATGTTCCCCCGCCAAGATGGATCAATTCAACACCCCGACTATTCGTCTCAGATGGACTAACATAAGGCCGCTTCGAACGGCGTTTTGTAACAGGCACCAAACGACACTTGCTGGCCATCTACAAGTGACTGGCGGCAGTTCAACGCTACTCTCTCGGGGAAGCTCATAGCGACCAAACCGGTCGCCATCTCTTGTTACGCAGGTCCTAATTATGACGCAACGTTGTGCGCCAATGTTATGGTGGACTGGTACAAGGGAGAATGGATGTCATCGCACCCCGTCGGCCTGGACTACCCCCTGAACATCACATGCCCTCCCGTTCAACCTACATCGAACTCGACCGCCGGAGGAGGCTCTTGTACCCTCGGCACGAACCCTGTATACGCTGTGAACGTGACAGAGACCGACGACATCGTCGCAGCTCTCAAGTTTGCAGAGGAGAAGAACCTGAGAGTCGTGATCAAGAGCACCGGGCACGACGTACTCGGCCGTAGCGACGGCTTCGGCGGCTTGGAGATTTGGCTTCGTTACTTCCGCAACGGCATCACCCCGCAAACCTCTTTCCAGTCCTCCACCGGCTGCACAGCCTCAGGATGGACCGGCAGCGCCATGAAGCTTGCCGGCGCGTACATGTGGGGAGAGAGCTACGCGGCCGCAAAGGAAAACAACGTCGTCGTCGTGGGTGGAGGAAGCTCGACCGTCTGCAGCACGGGCGGGTGGATGCAGGGCGGCGGCCACGGCCCGGCCAGCCATACTTTCGGTCTCGGCGCTGACCAGGTGCTTGAGGCTGAGCTCATCCTTGCCAATGGCACTGCTGTCACGGTCAACGCTTGCCAGCACCAGGACCTTTACTATGCCATCCGTGGCGGAGGTCCCAGCTCCTACGGTGTCGTCGTGTCAACTACGGTCAAGACGTATCCGCAGGTCACCGTGGCCGTTCAGAACCTCCAGTTCGCGGCCCCTACCGGAACCCCCAAAACCACTTTCCTGGATGCGCTTGCAACTCTTTACACCTCGATCCCGGAGTTGGTGGAGTCTGGTTTTGCCGGCTATAGCCACTGGCAGACCGACGGCCAGTCTGCTTCCTTCAACAACTACACCACGGCATATTCCCATGCCGTCTACGTGTTCAACAAGACCGCTGAGGAAGCAGAAGCCGCTGGCAAGGGCCTTCTCGACAAGATTTACAAGTTCAACGACACCCTCTTTGTAAATTCGAGCTATGTAACTTATGGCGACTACTGGACCTTCTTCCAGGAGGTTAGCGCCGATAACAACCCCGTCGGCCTCATGGCCGCCTCTGGATCTCGCCTCCTGGATACGGACGCCGTCAGTAACTTCACAACCGTCCGTGGTCTAGTCGAGACGCTGGCCGGAAAGACGGGCGAATACGTCACAAATGTCATCTCCATCGTCTCTGGTGGCCAAGTCTGGGCCGACGCAGCTCAGGAGTACTCCGCCGTTCTCCCCGCCTGGCGTACGGCCGTCTTGCACCAGTCTGTCGCGCGTATTCTCAGCCCCGGCGTCAGCGATGCCCGCTTCAAGGAGGTTCACGACGACGTCACGTTCAATAAGATTGGCGCTATGAAGACCTTGGCTCCGAACATGGGAGCGTACATGAATGAGGGTGATGCTTTTGACCCGGACTGGAAGGTGGATTACTATGGCGCCAACTACAAAAGGCTTCAGTGCATCAAGGAGTACTACGACCCTGGTGAGCTCTTCTACTGCCCAACTTGTGTGGGAAGCGATAAGTGGCAAGAAGACTCCGTTGGACGTCTTTGCCGCGCGTAGTCATCCGGAATCTAGTCGACATCGAGGCTCACTCATTCCCTTGTGTTTCTGGTAATTACTGTACATAACTGGATGTTTGGACAGACAGACCTGGCCTTCTCTTTCTGAATCATTAGACTTTCAATTAGACTTTATCATGAACTCTCATTACACAGGAATCGTATCTGAATATAGCTACAACCTAGCATCGGAATAACTTAATGTCGAGTTTAAATCCCGTTGTCGGAATGGTAATTCAAAACGGCGTAAAGCCTAGCCGCTGGCGGCCCAAGTTGAGTTGTGAATCTCTTAATGCTTGAAATTGCCCCTGGACTGCCTCTGAGTTTTGAACTACTTGTGGTCAAATTAAGGAGCTTAATATTCATGTACATATGTACATGTCTGTTACTAGTGTCTGTCGTACCAATCCTCATCCCGGAGTGTAGCCAAGCGTGGTAATAAGGTAAGGAGGGTGTATGGAATAGGAAACTATTATATTGTCATTAATAGACCATAGTTCCGCACCCAGCATCTTATAGGGGGTAAACAGATAGCTCTTCAAGCAAGTTGTAATTTAGATATATTGAGTACTAGGCGCACGCGAATCCTCTTCTTGGCCATCTACATGCGTCTTTCAGGCTAGGAAGAATAAGCTCATGGACAATCTCGCCGTGGCTACATATATACTTGAAGTATGTTCAGTAAACATCAAATGAGATCAGAGACATCTTTGAAACACAATTAACAGAGCACAAAGCAAGAAAGATTCAGGGTGGTCGTTGATGTACTGCATAGCCTCAACACGCCAGTCGTCCCTGGTCACCTCAGGCCCGCTTTCCTTGAAGTTAGACGTCTCCAAGCCCTCTTCAGATTATCTCGGCCACTCGGCAAAGTCCAGACCATGGTTGTTGGGGTTCAGCGTGCGGATGAAAGAGATGGCGGTGACCTGGTAAGCCTGCGTATTCTTGCTCAACGCATACGGCAGACCGGCAAACATGTAGAACCGCACGTCAAAGGCATGGAATGATCCCAGCACAGGCAGGTGCGTCAACACGCCGAAGTCTGGCAGCAGGCCTGCCGACGGGATGCTCACGTCGGTGACGTAGTTCCAAACAGTCTGCTCCGAGACGTTGCAATGTGCTAGAAGGTTGCGTCGCTGCGCCTGGAAGCTGAAGTCGCCCACCACGGCGGCCAGGCGCTTGAACTTAGGCGTGACGGCATTGAGGATGCCTGTGCCGAAGGGGGAGCCTTTGGTGATGTCTGTGGGGTAGAGTTTCATGAGGCCGGCAATGTCGGCGTCAGAAGCCTTGGGCCACCAGATTGTCTGGAAGTAGTCGGCAAAGTCCTCATCCGAGAGAGTCTCGAGCTGAGCGAGGAGAGAGAAGAGCGTGCCCTCGTCGCGCATGTCGCCAGTGATCAGTGGCACCGAGGCCATCTTGCCGGCTGCGGCCAGACGGTGGGGAGAGTCCTTGAGGTGCTTCCCGTCGGGACGGAGGGTCCATGTCGAGGCAAGGGAATGAGGCCCGAGGACCAGTTAGAAGTATGTTGTTAGCACAATATCAAGATACGACTCATACCGACATTGAACTTACGCATTCCCTCTTCGTTGACGGAGGCCATGATATCGTCAAAGTCGGTAACCTTCAGACAAGCAATCTTGTCCGATGCATCTGCACATCCCGTCCTCTCGACCATGTGATCAAAGAAAGGCTGAGCCCTCTCAGCACTCTCAACCATGACCGGGCCACTAGACAAGGCCATGGCACCGCGGAACAAGTCAGTAGCGCCTTCGCCCTCGTCCTAGAGTAGATGCGCAACGACGGGCCAGCTACCAGCCGACTCGCCCATGATGACGACCTGGTCAGGGTCGCCACCAAAGTCAGCAATGTGCTTCTGCACCCACTGCATCGCTACCCGCTGGTCCTCGAGGCCGAAGTTGAGAAGCTCCAACCCTCCTCCATCTCCCGCGAAGCAGAGAAGCCAAAGGCATTGAGGCGGTAGTTTGCCGAGACGCCGATGATGGGCTGGCCCAGGTCGACAGAGGTCCGGACGAGGCCACCGACGTTGTAGTTGAGCAGCTCGCCGCGGATCACATCCGTCTCACTGGTGTCGGTGAAGGGGCTGCCAATCTCATAGCCGCCACCATGGATTCAAATCACCACTGGGAACTTGTCGCCCTTAGTGGTGCCAACGGGGGTCTGGACGTTGATGAGGAGGCAGTCCTCGCTGCGGGTTCGGCCGATGAGGTTGAAGACTGTATCGGCGAGGGCGCCCGAGGCGAAGGGAATGCCTTGGATGAGTTAGCACTGACACTTGCGGTGAAATTGTTGACATTTCTGTTGAATCATGGCCACGTACCCAAGAACTCCTGGATGTTCCCGTTCATACGCCCCGTTAAATTGGCGTAGCTGATCTCAACCTTGGGCTTCAAGGTTTCACGAGATGCGATGGGCTTCGCAGCAAATAGGGTAGAGTGGGATGCCGCAAGTAGGGCCGTGAGCCTAAGCTACTTGGACGACACAATAAATGAATAGAGTGACAGATGTGATCAAGGAATGTAGGTCGGAGTTGAGTATACTCAATCCGTCAGTTGGATATCCAACAATACAGAAACTGAACAAAATCAGTGCACCGCAGAGAGCAAAAGAATGAAGCTGGTTCCTGGATGATACTCACGAACGCTTGAATTCAAGGGGCATGATAGATGTATTCAATGAACTCAATCTGCTCCTCCACTTTCTTACGAATACACCGATCATTCCGGACCCTCACTGCTCGATTGTGATCATCCTGAGAAGTGTGAAAGAAGACTTCAATGAACGGAACTTGCCCCGTCCTACGGAGTACTATCCTTTCAATCCCCAATTAGCATAGGGCAAGGGCCATCATACTACGGGCATGCTTTTGGCTAGTCATGGCAAACGCTCAAAAAGAAATTCTTGTTGACGACCAGCGTTATTCCCTATCCTTAATGAAGTTGAGCCTGGTGACCGGGGACTTCTGGGTTAATATGTTGTCTGGGTAGGCCAAATTCCAATTTATCCCTTTTGAGCTAAATCCTTGGAGAATTGCCCAACGTGGACGACGATCACTGAGTTTGGATAATATCTACCCCTCTCAGGTCGATATCGGGCGGCGTATGGATTACATCGCTGCCACGTCGGCGTTGATTTCTCCGAAAACTCTCTCGAAAACTCTCCGGAGTTCGGATCAGGGGCCGACAGATGAAGGTTCAGCATTGCATGCCCCTTCAAGATGAGTACCAAGATGAGTCCTTGACTCCTTATCTCGATCTCTAGGTATAGTCTCTGATCACTGATCCAGTACATCTCGCAGTAACTGTGCATCGGCAACCAACGGAATGTCGATGCCCTCTGCAAACCCCTTGTACGAGTCTCAACATCGCAGGGCATCAAGTTGACCCCTGGCTGTCAATCTACGAGGGTGGACCACGCGGCACCGGGATGCCGCCGATATTAAAATCGGGAGCAACAGGCCTCCGTTGGTGGATGACAAAAAAAACTCTCTCAAGGGCACGGACGTGACTCTGGCCATGGGTTTGAAACTTTCTCCACGTGTTCATGCTCGAATGCGAAAAAGATGCCCAATCTGACACAGTCAAAACGTTATCCTGCTTGTGGATGGTGGAGAGTGTACGGAGTAGTCCCACCACATGAGGGCTGGCGGAGCAAGACAAAGTGCGAGGACACATGACTTGTTGTTATGTGAGCAAACTTGAAGCTGTTCGAGACGGGTCGAATATGATTATTCCAAAGGCGAGTTCTATCGCACAATCTAAGTAACTAAGGTATCTTCCAAGTTCCAATTCCCTCCAACGGTATCGTGTTCAGCGTTCAAAGACAAAAAGAAAAGGCTACCATCAGTAGAAATACAACAAATTACATGGTATCTTATAACACCTAAACATGCTGCCTCTCCTTTCGCTCTTCTTCCCACGTGACATCCCTCTGGACGACGATGGTGTCCATGGGCAAGTCCTCACCGAGAACGTCACGCTTGTTGCTGGTTCTGGTAGCCCCAGAGACCGAGTACTTCATGTTGCTACCGTGGTGCAGATACTCTTCGGAATCATTACCGGTAGTCAGACGCTCATGGTTCGCGGAGCGCTTGAAGTTGTGAGAGACGCCGGGGCGCGAGTTGCCGCCAGTACCTCCGAAGGTTGCAGGTCCGCCCGAGACTTGGTTGGATTTATGGTCCCGGGTCGACCACGGCGTGCCGTAACGGATTCTGCGGTAGACCGGAACGAGAGTGACGGCGCAAGCGCCGATGATGGCGATGTAGATCTCCACGACGGTGGCGGTCCACATAAGAGCGTATTGCTCTAATAGTTGAGCGAATTAGCGCCAAATGTTTCGTGGTTGAAGAAGATGCGGGTGTTTACGTACTTGTCATGTCTGTTACGCCTATTGAGTAGAGGGAGGCTAACGAGCCGAACCGCACCAGACTAGCAACCACCACACTGTCTCACTTTGTTAGGTTGTGCCCACAGACGCGTGTTCAATTTTTTTTCGAGGTCTACTCACAGACTCCCTAGCGCGAAAACGCAGCAGATGCCGACTCTCTTGCTCGAGCTAACCTGTAGCTTCATGGTCTCGCGGATCGGAAGCACAAGCGTGAGGATGTCGATTAGACTGTTGGCGATCGAGTTGCCAACGAAGTAGAGAATCAGATCGATGCAGGTACCCGCGCCTGGCTTCGTCGTTTGTTCCCACGTGTATGCAAGTGGGCGGCATTGCAAGCAGTTGGTGATCAAGATGGCGATGAGCCAACCCAAGCATGCTGCGGAGAGCGCGTAGATGCCCTTTTGCATGAACGGCGTGGGGAAGACGCGCCAGTAGAAGGCCAGCAGAGACAACTTGATCAATGGCGAGGAAAAGCCGTAGCAGAACTCGGCGACGACAACGCACTGCAGTAAGGGTTAGTTTTCCACGGCTTGACGGAGTGCTATAGGGAGGAAGAACTGCATCAAACCTTCAAGAACGTGATCAGCTGATTTGGGTCTTCAGCCATCACATCAACGATGCTTCGTCCCAAGCCGCCGTGGACCGTTGCCTCGATAGTCGTGGCACAAAAGGCATGGTTAATGATCAGACTGACCAACGCCAGCCAGTCGTCGAGACCCCATCCCAAACCCGTGAGCTTTCGTGCCCAGAATCGTCCGATACAGGTGATGGTGGCTATCACCGCAAGAACAACATTGATGGCGATGATTGCCGTGTCCGTGTGCGGATCGTCGCTGCTCGTCGATGTCGTCGTCGAAGCCATTTTCCTATTTAAACATGAAGCGTCCCTGGTCTGACCTGAGTCGTGTATCCGGTCAAACAGAGCAGATTCGCCAACAAACCCAACCAACAATTGTCAAATGTAATGACCAGAGCAGGAAGGTGACGAATATCGCGGGAATCGGTGGACGGTATTGTTTATGCACGATGAAAGCTCCTTTAGTGGCCCATGGGGGGCAGAACCAAAGTCCGGTCTCGATCCTTGGGATGCCGGGCGCGCCCCTCGCCGCGCGCCCCGTTGATAGACATCAGTCTAGCATCAGTCTAGAATGGTCAAACTTTGGAAACATGTCGTAATGCCTGTGCCCTCAGAGTGGTGCCGTCGCACGCTCGAGGGACAAGACTGCGAGAGAATTGCCCGTTGTAGGTTTGCAAAGTCGCATACGGGCCAATGCCGCGCATACTACCCTCCTAGCTGCTGGCCTCGAAGAGACCTGCTTGCCGGTGCAGAGATTCGTTTGTCACTTGGAGTTGCGAGTCAGGTGACGCCCACTCTCCGTGCTACTAGACTCCATTCAACTGTCCACTCCAACACCACACTCGAACGAAGGACATGACTCGCCAAGGCCCCTCAAGAGTCCACCATCACCAAATATTACCCTATCAAGAGGTATCAAATCGCGGGCTTCATGTCTGGCGCAGTATGATTGAGATTGATTTTGCATCGAGAATTGGATCTGAGCGGAGCCGCGTTGAAGAAATTCGACCTGTCAACCAGGTCCAGGTCGGACGGAATACTCCTTAGAAATGTCGAGCCTCACCCCTGGATGCCGGACTCTAGTCCCGAACTCTGAAGAAATCGTGGTTCGCGGAAACAGAAAAACATGCAGAGTTTTCATGGGTTTTCGCTGCCCCCAGCAAATTGCTTTCTCGAATGGGAAAAGGGAAGACGAACTATGCCTGAACTGTATCATTGACGATCGGTTACAGCATGTATTAAGCGCAGTTATCCTCTCGTCAGTATATCGCCCCCGTCTGATGGGCTTCTGCTGACTGCTTCCCCTTTTGTGACCCTGGTGATCGATCGACGTAGTTGTACCGCGGCTTTCATATACTCACTCGAAATCTCTGTAACTCTGTAACTTTCTACCAAGATACTCACCTCTTTACGTCGCAGTTACATAGCGATCACTCACGATGGCCGGCACTCAGGGAGGAAGTTTCCCTATTCTCTCCTATCAACCTCTACGCATCTTCTATCAGATCTTCGGCGCCCTCTTCATTCTCTTCCCCTGCTTGCCTATATGGGCCATCAAGGCGCTGATTCCCTCCTGCCGTCCTCACCCGAAATGGGGCTTCAAACAGGCCCTCATGGCGCGCTTGACGCGAAGCATCGTTGATCTCTACTCAAACGTAGGCATCACCGAGACTCATACCCTCAAACCAGGAAAGGAGGGCGACCGCTTCCAGACCGCCGACCCCTTCCCTTCAGATCTCTACCTCGGTCCTCTGGCCTCGAACTCTGATGTGAAGCCCACCACCGTGGGGGGCACTTGGTTCCCGGCCAAGCCGGACGTCGAGAAGGGCTTCGAAGGCAACGTGGTTCTGCAAATTCACGGCGGTGCCTTTGTGCTGGGTGACGGCCGCACGGGATATTGCGGCTTCATGGCAAACACGCTCATCGAAAAGGCCGGCGCCGGCGCTGTCTTTGCGCCTCAATACCGGTTGTCAGGCTACGGCAGCGGTTCCGAGGCGGCCGCGAACCCGTTCCCCGCTGCGTTGCAAGACGTCCTGACCAGTTACCTCTACCTGACTCGGACCCTCAATATCCCGTCCAACCGTATCGTGCTTTGCGGCGACAGTGCGGGCGGCAACCTTGTAATCGCCCTGCTGCGATACCTCGATACCTATGGACCGGACCTCGGAATTGCCATCCCTAGCTGCGCGGTGCTCATCGCCCCCTGGGTCAACCCCTTGGCCAGCTTGGGTCCGGATTCGGTGTACAAGCAGCATGAGCACTGGAGCACCGACTACCTCCCCGTCTCGTTCTTGCGCTGGGGCGCAAAGGTGTACTCGGCCGGCGTTTCTGATGAGAACATGCCGTATGTGACGCCTCTTGGCAACGCCTGGGGAACCAAGGTGCCTATGTTCGTGTCGATGGGTGAAGCTGAGATCCTTGAGACGGACGGTACTGCGTGGTGCCGGCAGATGCAGGAGGCTGAGAGCAGCGTCACAGTATCGTATGAGGAGAATGCTGTTCATGATACGCTGCTGATGGGCGCCATTATTGGCTGGACCGAGAGCGCACAAGCTGTGGCTACGAGAATCGGGGAGTTCTTGAGAGGGGTGCAGACCGAGGAGGCGCCTAAGGGGGCGGACGAAGCTTGCAGTTAAAAGACTGGCTCATTCTGTAGTAATACGTAGATGAATGTACATAGAAGTACAAGCATGCTAATAGTTAACAAAGAACAAGTTGAAAACATGATGCGTTCCCTTTGTGGTCAGTGATGAAGATCCTGTTTTGAGGGTGAACCCAACTAATAACGAAACGTTCTGCATATGGACAACAAATTCTAGCGGATCACAGGCTGCGGAAAATGCTTGCTCTGGTTCGAGAGCATAATGTGCTGAAGTCGGCTCTTATTGAAGTCATTCATGAATTATAAGATATATACAGGCATAAATGTGACAGGATTCAAAAAAAGATATCGCATCACTTCCCGGCTGCAGACTTAGATCCGCAAGGATTCCCCAATCTCATTCAGGTACGTGATCGCCTCTTCGCTTTAGTCGTCAGCCACAATCTCTGCGCCGGCCTCGCTCTACAGGATTATTGACCGACTGGTCGACTCATGTTGCGGCCAAGCAGGCACATCGCTCATGTTGTGCTTGTTAGGATCCAGGTTGTTGACGAACGCAATCAGGGTACCCATCATATGGCGCGAATTGTTCGCCGGCAGCGTACCAAAGAAGTTCAACACGACATCACTGGCATGGAAACTTCCCAGATACGGGATGGCCTCGAGCGCGCCACGTCGAGTCTCCGACGAAAAGAGTGGCGCCGGTGACGATCTGAGTTGTTACATGGCAGATGCCCACTGCCGAGGCGGGGATGGCAAGTCGTTGCAGGATGGCGTTAAGGAGTGGACGTCTGAGTTGGACAGACAGGACTTGGCTGTGAATGAGAAGCTGAGAGCAGGCTTGTCGTTCACGATAGAATAGAGACGGCTATGAGACGATATTTAAACACTGGAGCCAAGCCTCCCGCTGAGCCGTCATTATCCAAACTGACAATGGCTTCCTGCGAAGCCAGTTCCGGGAGGCCCTTAGGAAGCCCCGGAGGACTTCTGATGGAAGCCCCCGATACAGATTCATTGACCGGACAGTGACGCAAGCAAGCGGTCTAAGCGGCCTTATCTCCTGCGTGGGATAGGTGAAATATTGAATCGGTGGGGTGATATGGGCAAAAGCCAGAAGGAGGACGTTGGGATAGCTCTTGACTCGATTCCCTTGCCCAGACGGCCGGCAGGGTCAATCCCTGGTACCACATGGGATGACGCAGCGACGATGGCTCCCTTATCACGTACATCGACCCCGGCGGCAGGGACAAGATCCAGGAATAGTGCAACAACGGAGTCGCTGTGGTGACTTCCTCATGAATTTACAGAAAATGATGCCATACACGTAGTTGCGCCGTATCCTTTACTACTTAGTACTTTATCAAGTACCTGCCCACACTCTCTCTGTTCATGATCGACCTTTTCCCTGGATCCCGAGCAAAATCTCCTCACTTTACCACGCGTCAATGTCAATCTCCACATTCTGTCGCCTCGCGACAAAAGCCTTTGTACTACCCGACGATAAGGAAAGGCCGAATTCATGAATCGTATGCTCGAATCCACTGTCAAGCTTCCAGTCGTATTTGTGCAGCAAGTGACACAAGAGGACCTTGACCTCGTTGGAGGCAAAAAATCTCCCAGGACACGCGTGTAGGCCATGGCCGAATCCCATATGGGACACTGATGTGCTCACCAGATGAGCCTTGCTATCCATCTTGGGGTCTCCACGCATCCGGAAGAATCGATACCCATCAAACTCAAGAGGATCTGGATATACGTTGGGGTCCACCATCGAGCCAAGGTCTGCCATACAGCGGTCTCCCTTCTCAAGGACCAATCCACCAGGAAGCTTGACTTGGCTAGTGGCTTTCCGATTCATCGTCGCTAGGGAACAATCAGTCAATGTTGCTCAGGCACCTGAAAGGAGTTCAAAGTCACTTACCAGACGTTGTCGGCTTAAGTCTCTGCGCCTCCTTGATGACACTGTCAAGCAGCTTCATGTTGAACAAAGCAGACTTGGTCCAGCCCTCCTTCCGGAGGACCGCCACAATCTCAGCACGAACATCCTCCATCAACTGCGGTCTGACCATCAGTCGGAGCATCGTTTCCGTTGCGAGGTCAGTAGTGGTATGAATAGCCACAACAGAGAGACCAAGTTGGGCTCCTACTGGGTCAAAAGTACTGCCCTGAGCTTCTTCCATGACCCATTGAATCGCATCTTTGTACGAAGGCTCAGTCCTCCCCTCAGCCAAGGCTGTCTTCTTCTCCCATTCTCGCTTTTCCAGTACCGGATTAAGAACGCGTCGTGCCTCTGCAACTTGTTCTCTGAGTAGTCGGCATTGCGGAATAAAATAGCAGGCGATGTGGCGAAGATAATGAGGGTACTGTCGAAGGACTTCTGCGCTTGAGAAAGTGTTGATGCTATAAGAGCCAGTGATTTTGATCCATGCATCGTTTCGACAGAGTTCATCGCCAAGAAACACACGGGAAGATAGACGAGCGACAAGGTTGAGAAGCGCTTCTTGAAGCGGAATCTCACGCCAACCTACTTCCTTTAGCTAAGCCTTTTTCCATACCATAAAGTGGCTTACCTGTCGAAGTTCCGAGAATCAGGCGCGTAGCAAAGTCAGCTTCCAGCGACAGTGGTGCAGTGATCTCATCTTGACAAGGGATTGGTAAGCAAATGCACCTCCGACAAGGTGTACGAGACATACTGAGCATCTTGGTAATCTTCTTGTTGATCGTCTTGTGAAGCAACTGGTCCTTTCGGCCATCGAAAGTAAATCCCTCGAATCCGGGAATGTTGGGGTGAAAATTATCGACAAAGGCTTCGAGGAAGTCCAGAGATCGCTCATTGCGCATCTCATCGGCGTGGTGCGCCGGAATAACAATGAGATCCCCCAAGTCAGTGAACATTCGGTAGGGCTTGCCTTTGAAGGCCTCCCGAGCATTGGCCATCAGGCTTCGGGCATTGCTGACGAAGTGTTGTTTGGTCTTCTGGCCAAGGAAATCCCACTTTGGGGGCCGGTTGATGTAAGGGAGGTGGTCGTGGCGTCCTGGTATGGAGACATAAGCGAGTGTCAAGGAGAGGACGACAAAGAGCAGGCCGAGAGCTGACTGTTGCGGCTCTAGTGTGGCGAGCCAGCTGCTCCAGGATAGCGACATGTTGATGTTCAACGTAGTGGGTTTGGTATTGAAGTCAAGTTGTCCTCCAAATTGGTCGGTAGTTGGTAAGCGAGTTTGGGAAAACGATTGCTTTAGGGTTATTTTATACAACATTGATCGGAGTCCTATCACACCGCGACATCCCGATTGTTACTTGAGGTGCAGAGGTCGGCCCGTCCCTGGACCTACTACTGTCTTTATCAGGGGCTAAGATCTCCGTGTAAAAGGCCGGGCTGTATGTCATCGAGTGGAGTACCTTGGGCATCCGCTGCGTACTCGATGTCTGCTGTCAGAGGTTTTGACCGCCATGGTCCAATGAGTTCGTCGTATATATCATCGGAACTTGGCACTGCCATGTATATCTCCCTGTAACAAGGAAAACTCTGCTCTCATCGCACTTCAAGACTCCGTAGTCCGTACATACATACGAGCACGGAGAGTCACACCGGTGGGATTCAAGGTGGGGTCTGGAGCTGGCAATGCTCTTGATGGTTCTCACAGTGTACGTCAGTTAAGAGCTGCCATATCCCTTGAACTTGAGCTACCGGCCCTTTGTAGTTTGCCATAATGAGAACAGTATTCGTGCCATGTCGGTGGCATGTCTTAGCTCGGGTTCGTGTGACCGTTACGACGTTTGTTGTTGGGGCGGGATGGTTTTGTTGCCTAATTAGGCAATGTGGGATGGAGGGGGCTTTTGACAGGGGCAGATGGAACTTCGATATTCTCAAGGAACCGCAGGACAGGCAACCGGAATGAGAAAAAAGATAGCTGAAAGGGCCTGCCTGAGAGCCCTCCTTGTTTTCCTGCCGACCATTGTGTTATCTTGGTTTATCTTAAGCAAAAATGCCGTGCATAAGATACGCCCGTGATGTGTCTGCTTGTGAATTATTATATAAAGATGGAGACGTTGCTACGAGATGGAAACAGTACTAGTCAGAAGCGTGGTTTATTACCGAGAATAATTTCTGAGTTTTCTTTCCGCTTTGTATTCTTGACACGGTAGCATAGGCAAGTACTTAAGTACAACATAACAGCACCACTGCCGAACAGAAGACGGGCAACTACATTAAGTTGCTTTCTGCCTCTAGATACCCGAAGCGTCCTGCTCATACAACTTGGCAAGCTCGCGGAGAACCCAGCTCATACGTGGTGCGACTATTGATTGGGTTTCAGCAATAGGAAGTCAAGGATAGATTCGAGTAATACTCACCACCCCAAACCCAAGTATCGTCATATAGTCCAGCCCAGACACGAGCAAGATCCGCAGCGAGAGAACAAGATGGAGAACTATCAACGTCAATCTGGCTGAGAAGATGCCGAACGTTATCGAGGACCTTTGTTTCTTCTGGCGTAGTCTTTCCACTCGTAGACTGCAGACATTCGACCGTATGAACCCACTTCGTCACTAGAAGGGCTGATAAGGTCAGTACGAAAACGTCTTCTTCATGGCCAAAACTTCACGAAAGAATCAAGGCATACCGGCATCCCATCCTGCCAAAGCATGTTCAACACTCCACTTCAACGCCGCCGTCTTTTGCGTGAGCAAGACTCCGGCTCGAATGGGTATCGCAAAGCCTTCCAGAGCACAGTCGACAGCCATGGTCATGTAACCATCCCGCTCTTGAGCAGCGTCAAAGTAGCGTTGCAAGATGATTAGCATATCCTGGCTACTCTCCTGAAAGAGTAGCGAGCGATCTAACGATTGGAAGTTGATGAACGCTCGGCCGTACGAAACACGCAAAACGGCAAATGCGTTAAACAACAATGGACCGTCAGCTTCAGTCCACGTGCCGTCGTTGCCATCGCGTGTCTCGGTTAGCAGATCTCTGCACCTCGATAGAGCAGACTCTATCCTCTTGGCGTCAGACTGGTGGCTTTCTCGATAGCTTTGCGTCGTTCCGTAGCAGGCCTCTTTCCCGTGGGCGAAGAACCAAACGACGATGGCAACTTGGTGCATTACGATTGATGCTGCGAACGGCGACCACGTCCAGCTTGCATCTAGTCTTTCTTCCTGTGCGCTGTTACCAAATATCCAAGCTGTTGCTTGACGAAGACCTAGGGGCGAAGAAGGCAGTCGTTCTTGCAGAGACGACCTCCATTCAGAAGCACTCGTGGCATCCCATAGCTCATCTTCAGCGGGCATTTCAATGTTGCACTCCTCTAGCGCTGCGAAGCCTGGCACGATACCGTAGGCTATGACGAGAAGGTTACCGAGAACCATACAGCAGCACATGAGACTTGATGATGTCAGCCAGCGGTGAAGTCTTCGACAGGAATAGGTGCTCTCACCGCTTTATTGACTCATGTTCGACCCAAGAATGCCACTCAGAGAGGTTCAAGTTCATTGAACCAGGCTTTGCGCGGGCCATTCTTGACCGAAAATCCTGAGATGATCTGTAAGCGTGTAGAAGAAATATCTCGAAATCTGCACACGCACTGCTGATAGATGGCCACAGCCGACGAGAGCCTGACGTATCAACTGCGGCTCACTGCTGAAAGATGCGAAGAAGACGAGAATGAACCGCGTCTGGGCCAGTACCAGCGGCCCCTGGTTTGATGGCGGTGAGTCTCGAGGTCTCGCCCAGTCATCCAATAGTTCTGGGATAGCCTGGAGTCGCTCAAAGTCTATGCTCGCGAGGACACGTTCGGCTGTAAGATAGAGCGATGAGGCCATCTTTCTCTGAAGTCTGTGGAGGGCACCTATGGCGCATATTCCTAGGACTAGTGGACTAGGAACCTTCTCTAATTCCAGAGTCTGCAGGTGTAGGAAGGGAAAGTGTATGTGGAAGGCATCCACGTAGGAATTGAAGTATTGCTGCAAGCATGTAACGGGTGGTAATTGAAAGTCCCCAAGCTGGGCTTTGGTGAGGTGTAACTCTATATCAGCCAAGCAGTGAGCTCTCATCTCTTCTGTGAAAACGACTTTGTGGTTCTTCGCCGTCGTTGACTTGAGTATCCGTGGTGACCACCTTCGTCGAGGCCCAAGGGCGCTTTGGCTTATTGTATGTCCTTGCGATAGCGTTGGAATTTCTTCTCCCCTATCCGAAGGATTGCTTTGGTTGCCTGAAGGATTGCTTTGAGGCAAACTTGGTACTGGTGGCTGGAGCTGCTCGGGAACATCCTCGAGTACTGGAAAGGCGAAATGATCAAAGGTTCTACCTAAGAATGGATCGAAGAACTCGAGCGAAATATCGCTGAAGTCAAAACTCTCGACTTCGGACATGATGTCATAACCAAAGTGAGGATTATCCCCTAATACATCTGGCCCGTCGACATTTACCGAAGGTAGGCTGCCTTCAGATGACATCTGATTTGATGGTCCTGTGTGGCCCTGCAAACTTTGATTCTGTTCATTTGGAGTTGCCATAGACGTTGGTTCATTAACTTGGGCATTTCTTGAGGATGACTTCTCTGAAGTAGAGGTTGCACCGGATTGCGACAGGTCTCGGTGAAAAGTCTTTTCATGGCGAGTAACCAGATCACTAGCAAAGACATCGTTAGTAGTGAAGTGTTGTTCGAAATCCCAGCCCAGACAAACTCACTTGCGAGCGAAGCGTCGGCTGCATATGCGGCAAGAGAACGGCTTCCCTTGTGAATCTACTTGTCTTTAGCCGAAAATCCAGACTTTTCAGAGAGGTCAACCCAACGGCCTCGTTCATGGCGATTGCGATGCTCGCTCCGCTTGAACGTCTTTGGACAGATCCGACATCGGTGCTGAACTCCTGCCTCTTTGCGGAAAGAGATGACAGACATTCCAGGAGCCGTTGAGAAGGCCATAGCCGAGATACGCGGTCGATGAACTGGGGGGATTCGCTTCTGCGTGACGTTGGCTCGATTGTCCACCAAATGCGTCGAGTAAGAGTTTGAAGGTCAAAGTGCCGGTGACGAAAGGACGGACTGTTTAAGCCTCCGTGTCCGATCCTTGGTGCCTCCACAAACCGGGGCCGGCGGGCGGGCCGCTGCAGGCTAATGACGCGCGGGGTAATTGTCCGAGTAAGTCATGCGCACGATCTATGTAAGTCGACGACTATGCAGTAGACAGGGGGGATTTGACGTTGTATGTCAATGAGAGGAGTCGATACAAATTTCTGTTTTACGTGAATTTTACTAAGGGCTCATCTTTCATTGCCACAGCGAGGATAATGAGATGATTCTGTATGGAGATATGAGCTAGAGATCCACCATGCAAACATTTGATGCCCTTCTTGACCAGCTGAACCAGTGATCCTTATGTACGCACACCTACTTCTGAATTGAGTGTCGTCTCTTGTCCTCCTTGTACGGCGCAACCTGCACTGTCTGTATCTCATATTAGCTTACTATACTCGAGCCGCGAGAAAATACATGGTGTCTGTACTTACCGCCCTGATGATTTTCACGGGAGATCCTTCAGATCCCCATTTCACCTCAACAACTGTCCCTGGAGCAGCATGCTCCTTGGCAACAATCCCCAGTGACACCATCTCCTTGAACCAGTAGCTGTAGCACCGAGAAACAGCGCACCCGATCGTCATGCCTTCGTGCAGAACAGTACTGCCAACAACATTGCCAAGCAGGCTGCGAGGCATTTCCATATACTCAAAGGGCTCCGGCCGAAAGAGGGACGCAAAAACGTCAGTCACATCTTCCGCGTTCCAAATCAGCGTCACTAGCTGGTTCGGTGGGCTGTCTTTGAGCTTGAGAAGAGCGTCGCGCCCGATGAAGTCGTGGTCAAAGTTGATGAGCCAGCCCCAGTTCAGGTCGAATGGCGTGAAGTGGTAGGAAATAGGGTCTGCGCCGTGACTACCGCTGGCCTTGGAGAGATAGTGGTCAAAGTCGAAGCCGATATCTCGCGCGAATTGTCGGAACTGGAGAAGTTCCTGGTCGTCTGCGGGCGCGTGTACAGCCGGAATGAAGTCTGCGGCCGGAGTCGCAAACGCGGCTTCAACCTAGAAGGCATGTGTCAAGAGAAGTTGTTGATGGGGAGCATGGGGCAAAATTTACTTACGTGATTCACCATCTTTGCGCGAGCACCCAGTTGCCGGATATTGTGCTTCTTGCCAGCGTCTACGATAGAACCGTAAATCTTTTTGGCATCCTTCGTTGACCCCCAAAGCTCAAAACCGAGTTCGCCGGATACACCTTGTCTCAGACAAAGGAACTTGCTTCCATCGATCGAGAGCTCCTTGTAATGCATAAACTTGATATCCCGGACACCCTTGTCCGTCACCTCATCCAGCAGCTGGACACTCCGAGGACCTTGAATTTGAAGAAGGAACCAGTCATCAGTGACCAGTTGCAGAGTGGCATCAAACTTCTTTCTGCCCTGTTGGAATTGGTACACAAGCCAAACCGTCCCGGGACCGCTAGTGAACAGGAAATCATCCTTTCCGAGCATCAAAACCAGACCCTCGCCAACGACGGACCCATTATCTTGACAGAAGATGGCATGCTTCGCTTGTCCAGGCTTGAAGTTGGGCCAGCGGTTGGTCGAGATGTATTCGAAAAAGGCTTGCGCTTCCGGGCCGGTGACGCGAGCTTTGAGCAGCGGCGACCAGTCGCCAATATAGCAGTCCGTCTTCCAGGAGACGCTCTCGTCGATCCAGCCCGAGTATTCGTAGGCTTCAAAGGTTGGACCGAAGCGGGACCAGGTATTGACGCTCGGGTCTATAGGAACGGCGGGGGCCAGGGGCACGAAGTGCTTCTCGCTTCCGTCATCCCACCAAGGTTGTGTTGCTTTCTGAATCTGAGAGTTGGACGCCATCTTAAGGTTCAAAGAGTTGTTGACTGGTGTGAGGATTACGCTTTGGACTAATTACTTCTTTGCTATCGTGGGTTCTCTTCATTCTTGTCTTATCGTATCGGCACGACTACACTTTATGCCTGACACTTTCGATAACTGCGTCCACTCAAGTCCTCTCCACTTAGTGGTATAGGATGAAGTCATCAATTTCCCGCTGCTGTGCACAGCACGGTGGGTTGAGGAATTGAAACGTGAACTAACACATCCCAATTAGGCAATGTGGGATGTGGTGTGGGATATCTCCACCACTGAGATGCTACTCCACTTTCTTGTCAGGGGGTTGATGACTCCCGATATTGGCGACGGACTTGGATGTTGCCGAACATTGCGGTCACTTTTTGAATCACATTGCAGATCCTTTGTGTTGCACTGTAAGTTCTTGGCCAAAGGCGACGGGATCTACAGCATTGAATGGTTAGTCCATCGAAGCGAGTTAAGTTGTCGCTGGCACTGATGTTGATGTCGGGGGCCCGGCCGCCGTATGTCAGTCAACCTATGGTATGGCAAGACTCAGAAAAGTTGAAACCGATCTTCAAGAGAAACGATCTTGAAGAAAAGAAATTGTGTGCGTATGCACTAGATTCGATGGCATTTCTTTCTAAAAGTTTTTTATCACCAGATTTTTGTTGTAATGAGAATCTGCAGATGAAACACTCGGGTATATGCACATATATGGCCAGTAAGTCGTGCTCCTCAACAAAAAGACTTACGGCAAAGTGCCTATCTTAAGGTCCAGCCAACCTGAACTTGTACTTTGGAAAAGAGTCATTGAAAAGGCTTCAACCAAGCCGAGTCTCTCTCAATCTTTCACTAGTAACGTGCTAGATTTGGTCTGGCGATATGATACCACAACGTAATCGAAGTTTTCAAGTCTACTTGTACTACTACGATCTCAAATTCAAAATGGGGTTCCCATTTGCCAATATCATCTATGTTACTCGTCTTTAATAGATTGCTGTCTTGCTTTAGACTCCCTCAAGACCTTGACCTCCTCTTCCGAAACCAACACAAAATCATACGTCAAAAGCCGCGTCGACGGCCTCACACCGTACTTCTCAGCCATCCCATCAACATCCGAGACAGTCTTCAAGTCCACAATAAGCGACTCCTTGACTCCAAAGACCGCATCCGACCTCTCAAACGGATCTCCACGAAGATACAACGCTCTGTGTCCGCGTCAGAAAGAAACCCCAATATCAGAGTGAACATGCCAAAATGCCAAAGAGAACTTACGTGATGAGACGGTCATATCCAGGCTTATCGAACATGAAATGAAAGTGACTAGGCCGGTACCGGTGCCTCCCCAACGTCGCCAATAACCTCCCGACAGGCCCATCCCCCGGAATCGGATACGGCACCGGCACAATGGCCCGAAAAAAGAACCCTCCCCCCTCATCGCTCCTGACGACCGCCCGTCCGTCGGGGTTCTCGTACCCGTCATACTGAACATCATAAAACCCCTTTGAATCCGTCTCCCACACATCAACCTTAACCCCCGGAATCGGCACCCCTTGCGTGTCCCTGACCGTCCCCACAACAAGCATCGGCTCCCCATCCCCATCCCTCGAAATCATCTCCCCGTGCGGGACGTCCTTCGCCTCGTGGGTGTGAAACGGGCCGAGGACGGTGCCCTCCGTCGCCCCGATACCGGGCGGTTTCGGGTGGTCCAGCGAGTCGACGAGGAGGGAGAGGCCGAGGACGTCGGAGAGGAGGACAAATTCCTGCCGAACGGAGGTGCAGGTCTTACCGACGTCTGTGAGGAAGGCGGTGGCGGTCTCCCATTCTGCGGTGGTGAGGTTTGTTTCGCGGGCAAAGTCGTGGAGGTGGGTGACGAGCTTGTCTAGGAGAAAGCGCGTGCGGATGTCGGCGCATTTGGAGTTGATGGCGTGGACGTTTTCTGTGATGTTGGATATTGTTAGGTCTTTGAGGGGTGGGTGGGAGAGATCTATCTCGGAGAAGTCCATTGTGGCGGTCAGGAGTGTATGAGGTGGAGATCGACGTCGGATACGAGGTCTTGTTGGAAGAAGGCAGACGAAGAGCAGCTCGAACATATCATAAGAGTATATCAAAGTCAGCTCGAAACTGAATTTTTCATGATCCAGCTAGAACAGGCCTTGAGAAACTTGGTCTACGCACCGTCCTCCCGCACTTCCGGGCAGGAGTGTGTGGGGAGGTTTGGCGAAGTGAAAAGATAGACATCTCACATAACCAACCAACGGAACACAAATTGCTCTTTCATTGCAGAGAAAGCTCAGTCTCTGTTCATCTCGATTCGTTCTAGACCTCCAAGCTACCTCACAGCCCCTCCCCCCTCCCCGCGACTAATCAACACTACCCGCCCCCGGACATCATCCCACTTCGTTACCCCACAAAGTCGTACGCCCGTGGGCATCCCACATAACCCGTTCTCTTGCTGACGACTCTCAACCAAGAGGACAAGAAGGGGTTATTGACGTCAAGTACAAGGAGACACTTAATTGCCTCCACCAGACTGACTTTATGTGACATGGGATTGATTCTAGAAAACTCGAATAACAATAACGATTATAATTCATCGCCAAACATCCCATTCATGAGGAGCAGTAACAGAGCAGATTTCGTATACCAAAGCCGTGAATAGTGTTTCTCTCAAAGAAGCCTTTGCCAAAGCATCTACTAAATCAGACCCTCTCATCCACATCCAACTCATCAAACATGGCATCTCAAGACCACCATGGTATCAAAAAGGTAAAACCAACATCATCACACCGCAAATCCCCCATATCCAACCCTTCCTCTCTACCCTACACTTCAACTAACCCTCCGACCCCAGGTAATAGTAATAGGTACAGGCCCAACAGGCCTCCTCCTCTCCCTCCTCCTCGCCCGCCACTCCATCCCCGTCCTCCTCCTCGACAAATCCACCTCCCTCGACACCCAGCCCCGCGCAACCCACTACGCCGCCCCCGCCAACCGCGTCCTCTCCCGCGCGAACCTCCTCGCCCGCGTCAGGCAGCACGGCATCGAAGTAGGCGGCGCCCGCTGGCGCAAACCAGACGGCACCGTCCTCGCCAAGATCGAGAACAGCAGGCTCGGCGCGGAGAACCCGGACCGGATCTCGTGTCTGCCGTTGAACGCGCTGTGTAAGATTGCGCTGGAAGATCTCGAAAAGGAGCCGGCGGCGGAGGTGAGGTGGGGGTGTGAGGTTGAGGGGATTCGGGAGGAGGAGAGCCGGGGGAAGGCGGTGGTTGTTGTGAAGACGGAGGAGGGGGCCGAGGAGCTGGAGGCTGATTATGTTGTTGGATGTGATGGTGCGAATAGCATTATCCGGAGACAGCTGTTTGGGGACGAGTTTCCTGGGTATACGTGGGACTTGCAAATTGTCGCCACAAACGTGAGTAGAAACTCCATTTCCTTCCTGATAGAGAGGCCAGCAGCAGAAAGGCAAACAGCCCCAGAAGCGAATAGGATGCTAAACACACAGAAACAAAAGGTCTACTACGACTTTGAAAAGTACGGCTGGAAAGACTCCAACTTTGTCATCCACCCAACAGACTACTTCATGGCCGCCAAGATCCAAGACGACGGCCTCTGGCGCGTCAGCTACGGCGAGGTTCCCGGCCTCAGCCACGACGAGTACCGTGCCCGCCAGCCCGCGAAATACGAAACCATGCTGCCCGGGAACCCAAAGGCCAACGACTACCGAATCGTCAACTTTAGCCCCTACAAGGTACACCAGCGTCTCGCGCCGCGGATGCGCGCGGGGAGGTTCATCTTGGCTGGGGATGCTGCGCACTTGTGTAACCCGTTGTAAGTGCCCTTCGTACCCATGACCCAAATGGAAGACAAAGGGGGAAGACGAAAAAAGAGAGAAAGGAAAATCCTGCCTGGCACCCATCTAACCTCTCGGCCCTCGGCCTCCACAGCGGCGGCATGGGCCTCACGGGTGGCATCGTCGACGTAGGCGACCTCTTCGACTGTCTAGCTGGCATCCACGACGGCCGAGCCGACGATGACATACTCGACAAGTACGACCGCTACCGACGAGAAAAGTTCAACCAGTTCACGAACCCGGTCTCCGAGGCGAACCTCAAGAGGATGGCCTCGGACCCGGACGAGGTCGAGACCAACGACCCAGGGATTGTCGCCATGCGTGAGGCGGACAAGACTGACGAGGCTGCCGTCACGTTCCAACTGGTATGATTGTTTGTTCTTTCTTACCCTTATTCTCTCCTGGCTAGCTTTTGGCGGAGTGATGATCTGATATGCCAACTTGTATAGGGTATACTGGGGCTTGCCCATGATATGACGCAGTATTATAAGAAATAGTAACGGCCGGGGTGAGAGACTTCTCAACTATTGGATTCGCGATGCTTCAAAGGCAGACTTGGAAAGATGTGATCTGGACTACGTAGAGGGGTTGGGATGGAGAGACGCGCACCGCCAACTCAAGTTCAGGCTCTAGACACACATCAGTACATATGCATTGGTCGTTACAGATAACTACTTGGTTGCTATTGCCAGTGCCCATTGTTCCGGGACCCAATTCAACGCCTACATATATGATATGCTGTGTCAACCATCATCTGGAGAGTCACCAGTGCATCCACCCGTCCACAGAGTAACCGTCGTCTCGAAGACGGAAATAAGAGCCTTCGAGACGAAGCCTGAGCGTCTGACCAAGTAGGACCGCCAGCCACGATGCTGCCTATCCTGATGGCTCGGAGATCCAGAGTACCACTATGGCAATCCAACCACTTGATTGCGTTGCGACACGAGCTTCCGTCGTGTCCGTATGCACTGGCATATCAGTGTGGTATCATCCACGTAAGATTTGCAGCCTAAGCCAAGCTCGGCCAAGGTTTCCACGTGCCGGCGATGATCATGTCGCTCGTGCGGAATCGATCTTCGAGCTCGGTGACTTCGTCATTCGTCGAATGAACAAGAGCGAGTAAGAATGAAGCAAAGAAATAGTGTGTTCGTTCCTGAAACAGTACCTCACTCGAACGACAGTGACATGAAGTGATCTAGCGTACTAAACTACAGAAACTAACACTGGACGTATTACCCACCTGCGGATTTGGGGACCGACAATGCAACGGCGGGTAAATACAACCTACGCAATGCGCAAAGATTGAAGGAGAGTAAGTCCTGTCGCCGACTTGGGACCGAACTTGGGATGGTCCTTGCAGTGGGGGGCCGCCGCGGACGTGCGAGGACCGAATATACGGCGCTGACAGCAGGCGACGTTGTTTCGAGGGACACGGAGAGGTGGCTCGCCGAGATGATCTGGAGAATTGCAGCTCGCTTCAAACGCAATGCAAGATTCGACATTATCGGCCGATTATGGAGAGGGATTGGTGATCTACTGATCGACGGAGCCGGCTCATCTTCAAGAGGATCCTGATCCCGGAGCTGCAAGATGGGAACGACTGCTTTTGAAGAGTGAGCCGAGTTGTCAGACTTTAGAAAGCTGCTCTAGTCTTACGAAACCACGCGCTATTCTCGGCCTGTGGCCATCGTGTAACCCCAATTGGCTTGAAAAGATTGGCTGATTGACCGAAATCTTCGTTCCTTGACGCGAAGGGTTGACACGCCAAGAAAGGGGCCTTGAAGGCACCCACGCCCTGTCGCAATGCCGGTTCGCGGCGAAGGGGCAAAAGCTGGAGACGTTTGAGCGATCCGCCGAAGAATGTTCGTCATGCAGGCAGGCCGTGGACTTGCGGAGTGCGAACAGGTTGCGCTTTGACACGTTGACTTGACGTCGGAGGTGAAGAAGGGTCGTGAGGGTCTTCTTGACGAACGCCGACTGGCACGACGGCAAGGAAACTAATGACATGGAAGCTCTGTCGGTGTGTTTTAGGTTTTGTCAGTTTAGCGCGAACATCAATCAGGATGGGGGCCGCCAGTGTTGGAGATTGAGTCGCTAGAAGGCGGGCTTGGATGCGAGTGGGAATGGGGGCCGAGCCCGCCCTTACTCGAAGGGGGAACTGTTGGCCAGTGAAGCAGGGAGAAGGTCGTGTTCCGCAAATGCATAGATTGTAAGCAAAGCCGTTGGAATGTCATTGGAAGTGACCAGCGATCCCGCGGGGGGATGCAGCTTGCGGTGGTGTGGTGGACTGGTGATGGTGGTGGCCGGGACACCTTCTCCCGTCGAACTCCTTGCCTACTTGTACAGTACACTAAGTCAATGACGCCCGTACAAAGGCGGTGTGTTGCAGCGTCTGTTGTAGTGCAAAGTTTCTGGAAATCCAATGGTTCTTGGGCGAAGCGATTGGTAGAGCGTGAGACCTCCATTACTGAGCCAGGTCGTCAGCAACGCGTCGGTGTCGACTCCGCCGTCAAAAGGGCTGGTGGTGTCACAGACCTGCAGGTCCAAACACGGACAATTAATTACCATCGCTAATAAGACGTCGGCATTTGGGGGCCAAGCAGATCTCTAAGATGAGAGAGTGCCTCACTGCCTGGTCTCATATTCGAATTTTTAGAGAGAAATGGCAATGAGTGCCACTGTCGCGATGATCTGTCGCATTGCTCGAGTGGAACATGAGGGTCCTGGTTGCCCGGGGCTCCTGGAATCATGATTCTGACATGAACATCTTTTCTAAAGAAGGGCGCAAACACCGTAGATGACTTGGTAGCGAGGGGCAAGGGACTGTCAATGTCATAAGCCTCGTGGTGCTCGACGGTCCCTCGCATAGCAGGCCCGCGAGACCTAGACACACAGACTATGTTCCATCCCGCCGTCCTGTAATCCCACGATGGACACTCGCTCCGCTCGCAGGCCGTCAGGTGTGGGAGCTTGGGACTCGGGAGGGGAGAGGCTTTAGTGATGTTAACCACTGGTAGGAGGGTGTCGAGGCAAGCGAATAAGCGATGGGCACGAGGTGGCGGAAAAGGTGGCGCAATCCAGCGTATGGCACGGGCCTCTGGATGCTAAAAGTTGGTGTCTGCATCGATTCAGGGGAAGTCCATGGGTATCTGCATGTGCTTTCAAGTGGGCGCAAATGAGTGGGCGTATTCGCGGCGTGAGAATGGACGCGATTGGATCGAGGGCGGCCGAGGTAGCGTATGTGTGGGCGGGAAGAAAGGCAAATGTCAAGCTCGCGACAATAATAGCCACGATAAGACGATTCGACGAATGGGATATGGCATGTTCGTTGTGGAAGGGAAGCTGGCGGATTACCGGATAGTCGTCTTTGTAATGGCGAAAGTTGCAATCGCGTTTGGTTCTGACGTTGAAATGTGTGTGTGCGTGTGTGCGTTGTTGGTCTAGTTGATCCACCATCCAGCTTTTGCTGGTCACTGCTTTTCCTGGTCTAGGATGGACAGCTTTCCTTCTCGGAACGCGGAGGTGTCAAAGTATCCGCATCGTGAGGTGAGATTGTCGTCAAGGAACGGACGGCCCCGAGAACGACGAATTGGTAGAGACACAGGCGGTATCCGTGGATGTTGGTTTTGATAGATGAACATTGTCGGTCCCGCAGGATGTTGAAGTCGTATCGGTAATGAGCATCCGCCATGAGCAATGCCAGCCACCCAGCGATGGATCTGTAGGACTGTGAAGGACTCCGTACCGCGTCTTGCACCCAATTGACGGTTGACCAAGCCATCAGCCATCAGCCCCTGGCGACGGCTTCACGAAGGCCGACGGTGGTGTCTGGGATCCCCTTGGGATTGGCTTCTCCTTTGGGACAAGAGCAATGGTGGGATGGATGCATCTTGCATTACCCCTGCAGCCCTGTCTCCTCTTGTCCCGTTCTTTTCTGGACACTTCTGGTCTTTGTGGTGGAAGAATGTAAGGAAGGATTGGAGGGGACAGTGCAGGGTGGTGCCCGTCAGAAAAGGAGGCTAGTCAAGGGCGGCAAGCCTGCCGTTGGTCGCGGTGTCAAGGTGTCTGGCGCTTGTGGTGGTGTCTCGTGTCTCGCAGGCCAGCCATGTTTTGGGGTGCCACGACGGCGTCCAAATCCTACACTGCCATGGCGTAGGTAGGCTCTCCCAGTCTAGGTATTGTGTAAGGGTCAACGGTAGAAGGTTATATCGATGATGGTTGTGGCAGATTGTTTCTTTTGCATTGCTCATCTGGCTCGGTTTCCATCATCCATGGCGCGAACGCGAAGCGAAGCGGTTGTCTTCGAAAGAGCCCAATGGCGTTCTGGAAATGAGGATGGCAATGATTGGTGGGATTGAGGGCGGTTGGAGAGAACAGGACGTGCTCTGCAGAGAGGGATTGAGATGAAGCGGTTATTCCTTTGTTATTTGCGGGCGGTCAAGATAACGAAGGTGAGTGAGTATACTTGGTCACAAGTATCGGTAAGCCGGGAAAGCAGAGTGATAGATCACTCTATAGACAGTAAAAAGAGAGTGACAGAACATGGAGAAAAAAAGGCAATAAAACAATACTACCAAAAACAAAAGAAGAAAGGAGGGGTTCACTGCCAACTGGGGGCAAAGGAAAATGGCAAAAGCAGTGAAAAAGGAGAAACCCTGCAGTTGCAGCGGACCTGGACTCTTTACCCATTCGGGCCAGTTTGGCTGTGTGCTTTCCTCATGTTCCCCAGCAGCAGCCAAGGGCAACGGCGAGAAATGACATGGAAGGTGCGTCCTGACGATTCCTGACCACATGTCGCAAGGCCCGTGACATTTGTCGACTTTTTCTGTGGATTTTCTAGGTACCGTGTCTTGCAAGGAAGCTCTCATGCGTTGGCTCTTTCCCCGTTTCTTACAGTTGGGGATACGTACTTGTAATGTGGTGGATGAGGCAAGTGTAGCTCGAAATTTAGGATAGTGGAGGAAAGAAGGCACTGGTGGACGTGGCAGGTGCGGAGGACCATGGGATGGATGGATGCCCTCAAAAATATATGGAAGGAAAGTTCCTTCGTCTGGTGTTTTGGTGTTTCTTCCGGTATTTCTGCATCAGTTGGATGTTTCTTCAACCTGCTTCGTCAACCATACGGGGCATCGACCACCTTGCCTAGGTAGTAAGCAATACTTGCCCGTACGTACTCCGTACATCGACTAATAAGGCAAAGTCAGACGGATATATGGTCGTCGTTGTCGTCGTCGTCGCCCTTATTCAGCATCGGATATGATGATGTGGAATATTGGCGTCCGTGCTCCCTATTGCTCTTTCCCTTGCATATTGATATTATTGTTGTTATCGTCTCGTCTGGTGTTTCTCTTGCCTGGGCCCGACTTTTTTGACAGGGACAGGGACGCTCCGCAAAACCGACCGAGAAGAGACGCCAATATGAACGTCCATGGACCGGCGCATTCAAAGTCCCGTATCACTTGCATCCTCTCTCACAGAAACTCCGTACTCCCGTACTCTGCATCCGTCCGGAGTAGGGAGTTGGGAGTACATACCAAGGCACCTTGGTTCATGTCGTGTCGCATGCGCTGTGTAATTAGAATGTCCCGCCAACATGCAGGTCCACACAGAGATACACAAGAGAGAGTTAATACATGCAGCACCATCAGCAGCAATACGGACGCTACGTCTAATTACCTGATAGAATATGGACCCTTTACGGATACCATAATCCGAGATTCTGCAGACCTTCAACGTTGATACCAGCCCAAAAAGACCAAGGTCTCAAGTTCCATCCATGTCCCGTCGGAAGGACCACAGTAATACTTGCCTGAGATATTGTCCGCTGTTCATTTTCTAGCTTTATTGACTAGGTTCCTATTCGTAGCAGTCCCGGATCTCATCCCCATCTGTGTTCTGTGACTGTCAAGTATGGATATCCCAGCCCCTGCCCGGTCTTTCTCCTAGTGTACGGATAGGCTGCCCATCAACGAGATTCCTTGTCATGCCTTGCTTGACCCTAATTACGCCGTACCTTCGTGGTGGTACCTTAATTACCTCGCCTCGGAGCTGGTGTTTGCAGGTACCTATCTGTACCTTGCTACGTATCCTAGGTAGTGAATTGCTTGTGGCCATTCCTCCTCTTCCCTTCTGCTTCTTTTCCTTCTTTGCACTTTTCCCACGTGTGTTTCGTGGCTTGTTGTTCATCAACAATACCTTATTACCAAGCCAACAAATCAGACCTCCCAGATACCTTGCAAGACTTTCTCCCGTACCTTAGCTAAGTAAGCCAAAAGTCAACAAACCCATCCATCCATCCATCCATCATCCATTTACCTGTCTCGCCGCCTCCCTTCTCTAACTGCTTGTGCTTCAAGCAACCAAGCACCCGACCACCCACCCCCCTAGTGCCCTGGCACCGCAAAACATCCGAACTGTGACGAATGCACACCTGCATCTACCGTCCCTTACCGCACCCCATCCAACCTTGCCATACGCATACTCCGTACGGATACACCACGCTTCGCATACCACTTCCACTTGGACTTGGTACACTCCAGTCTCCGCATACAGAATACTTCCAGCTATATCCATGTCTACCACGCAGTCCATATTCTGACGATCCAATTCGAACTACTAATACTTCTTAACCCTGCGCTCGCCCACTGCCAACACAACCTCGACCTGTGTTGCGCGCATCTGCGGATACCTCCCAAGCTAGCAGTCGCACCGTCGCCGTTTTCTCGTCGCTAGCACAAGACATAAGTGAACCACTTCATACACCACACCCTCACCCTCACCCTCGTCCACGTCCACGTCCTCGCTCTCGTCCTCCACCCCTCGCCTGTCGACGGCCGATCACCACCATCCATCCGGGGCCTAGCAAGTCCTAGGTCAGGGGAAGATTGAGGGTAGCATCCATCGCCTCTTTCGGAGCATCGTACCAACTTTCAAGGCCCGTCACTCTACCCCCCCAACATTCGCCTACTGAATACCCGGTCTCAATACTACCACTACTAGTACGAATACACGCTACCAACGACGGATACCAATACATAATCAAACCTTCCCGCGCACATTTTCCCGTTCCTCGTGGCACTCTTGGCCCTTGAATGCCCACCCGCCCATGCCAAACGGGGGAAAACGGCGAAAGCACCACCAGAGAAAAAAGCAACCTGAACAGCTGCCCACTTCAGAAAAGAAACATTGCTGCAACGTCGTCCGCTAACACCTGACACCACCCCCCAAAAGACCCAAAGAAAGGGTCCAAAACGGGACTCGCTCGAGTCTTCATTTCGGCCACTCATTACTCGGTTGGGACTCGTTCACCCCGGGAGACAAAGCCGACCCGCGACACCGAAGTTCGAACCCGGCCTTGTGGACATTGCGACGCCTGAGAAGCCCACTTTGACCGTCAGTCTGCCTGTTCAAGCCTGCCCGCCGCCTGCTGTTCAAACTTCAAGGACCTCCCTCCAGGCTCTGAATCCTGTGAGCCCGCCAGCAGACATCGACTGATTCTTACGGCGCCGCCATCGCCGTCGGATTGGATCGCTTGACCTACTGGCGTCGCATTGGATCAACCGCGTTGCACAATATTGGGGCGCGTCCCGACTCTTGTCCAGCGGCCGCACCTTGGCATCTATTTGGCGCCGGCCTGCTTGCTGCTACTACTGGCGACTACTACGGCACCTTACTGCATATGCGCCTTGCGCTTGCGCTTGATCGGATTGGATCTGGAAATGACTTGAAAACCCTTTTCGACCCCCACGATACCCTTCCGTCCCCCCTCCTTCATCATGTACGCCGACACCCCGAGACGTTCCAGTCGTCGCCGTCCCGACCTCAACATCAACACCTCTCCTCCGCCCGCCGCCTACTCGAACAGGCCCGCCGCCGTTGTCGCGTCAAGAGGAGAACCTACAACTGCGCCGCCAGTCCCTCAAACACCACCACCGAGTAACAGGAACAGGCCACCGCCGCCTACTTCGTCCTCATCCGTCGCCAAGGGCAAATCCAACAGTTCTCGGGCACTACGAGGCCCTGCTCTCTCTCGCCATGCCGACGACTCTTTCTTGGTAGACACTCCCGATTCGCCCGACAGCTTCGACATGTCCTCGAATAAAGAAAACGATAATCCCGACCAATCACGCCCCCGCGACTCCCACGATCTCTCATTGTCCCCGCGAAACGTTACACGCGACTCCCTCATGGCGAATATGCTCATGTCTCTCGACCAATTCTCCATGGGTGGCCCAGTCGGTGGCCCCTTTGGCAGTAGCCCGCCAAACATGCATGACGAGCCTTCTCAGCAGTACCAATACGATACCGACGGTGACGGTTTCTCTACATCAGTGCGAGGTGGCCGCCCTGGACACACATACTCCTATAGCTCCGACTTTGACGCCGACGATGCGAGCAGGATATCCTCACGGGGTAGGAGGAGCAACAGTAGTTCCAACTTCCAACCTGGTCTGCACCGCATCAGCAGTATGCGGGAACCGCTGCGAAGCACTGCCAACTCCCAACGCCACATGCACTCTCGAGGTGGGAAGGGAAGCACAAAGAGTAGCAGCTCCAACAGCATTGATGCCGGCTATGCTCAAGTTCTCAGTAGCACCAGGTGGGCTTCCGGCTTCGGTGGCAGATCCTCGAGCTTCGACTATGGTCACCGCCCACCAGCCCTGCAGGCCACACAACATCAAGCTCAAGCGAACGGAGCTCCATGGCACATTGAATTCTCCAACACCTTTTTCACCGACGACTACGATGCCGCGCCGACGCCTACGGTGCCTGGCGGGCCCCGACGCATGATGCCGCCCGTGACCCCCCCTGCCGCGACCATTCCACAACCGCCCATGGCTGCATCCACGTCCGCAGCCGCACATGCACCATCGACTGTGGCTGTGGAGCCAGCCGAACCACCGCCCATTGTCCTCGAACGCAAACGGTCGAGTCGGTCCGCTAAAAGCACGTCGACATCCCGCCGAGCAGACAGCAACAACAACAAGTCCAGCACTCCACGAGAAGAAGTGCCCCCAATGCCTTCATCTGTCCCGGTATCTTCAGCTGCGCCAATATCGTCGCCAGCAACCGCACCCGTCACGGCATTCGAGTCTGAGTCGGCACCCGCGCCACACGTGGGCTACGGCAAGACAAAAGAGCCCGTGCACGCAGCTACAATTCCGACACAAGCACCGTCGCAGCAAACAAAAGAAAAACCGGGGTTTTTCAGGCGAGTCTTCGGCTCGTCTAGAAGCAATGCCTCCAATAACCCGCCCGAGACGCAAAATTCCACAGGCATAACGTCGTCAACATCTGTGGATTCTGTTGATCAAAGGTCCGGGAACCGATCTCTACACGTTGCCAACCAGATGAAGCCATCCGCCCCCGCCCCGCCCTCGAGGGATACATCTTCGTCCCATTCTCATCATCACGTGCTGCAAAAGAAACCGAGCTCCTTCTTTCGTCGCAGAAAGAAGTCTGTGTCCGCCGATGAGGTCCCTCCTGTGCCAGTTGCTGCCACTCTCGAACCGCCAATGCCCCCTCTGGTGGCCCCGATCCAGTTGCCCATCACCAAAGACAAGCTTTCTGCGAAACCAGAGCCCAGCCCAATCAGCAGTCTGCGCAGGGTTATGAACCCGTACCTTAAAGGCAGCCCGGTGACGCCAAATACGCCCTTGACACCCCAATCTGCTCCCGTGCAACCTGCCTACTCCGAAATGACCTCCGATCCCGCTCCAGCTTCAAACGGTGAGAGGGCCGAAGAACAACCACGATCCTTCTCCCCCGAGTACGACCCGAGTCCCAATGCACGGATAAGAGAAGTCCGCTCAGGATCTCGTGATGATGACGATGATTATCATCCAGAGCATGAGCGCCGGACCGATACGCCCACAAGACCGCCCCCGGAACCTCCCATATCGTCCGAAAAGCGAAACAACTCCTTCCTCGATATCGATGGCAGTGACAATGAGGCAGACAGTGAGTCGAAGCGAGGCAAGACAAAGAAGGATAGGAGCCACAAGTCTGGCAAGACAAGCAAAGAACCCTCCCCGTCCCGGAAGGGGACTTCAGACCGAAAGGATGATACCATTAGAGGCAGGAAGAACAACAGACTCGCGGTCGCTCCAGCAGACTCGGATGATGAAGGCAATAAATCAACACTAATCTTGCCAATGGAGGGTACTAGGTCTGCCAGCCGAGCTTCAGGGTCCACTACCACCGAGTACAAGTCTGCCATGAGCGGCACCCCTAGTGTCCGAGTCGAAACCACAGAGAATAGCCCCAAGGTCCTTGGCACATTTGAGGCTATGAGCACCAAGCCTCTGGATGAGCCCGACTTCATCGTTGGAGACCCAACAGAAGACGACCGCAAAAAGGCCCAAAAGATCTATGATGGTAACGAGGACTTCATCCAGAAGGAGAAGGCCGCTGCATGGATGGGTGAAGAAGGCCCCGTCCGGCAGAGGACTTTGCAAGCGTACATGGATCTGTATGACTTTGCCGACAAGAGCATTCTCCAGAGTCTCCGCTTGATCTGCGAACGCCTTGTCTTTAGAGCAGAGACACAGCAGGTTGATCGTATCTTGGTTGCCTTTTCCAAGCGTTGGTGTGATTGCAACACCAACCACGGATTCAAGGCATCCGGTATGTTGCTACTGTTGCCTCCAAATCATCAAGAACATAAACTAACAATATCCAGACGTCATTCACACAATCTGCTACTCAATCATGCTGCTCAACACTGATTTGCACCTGGCTGACATCGAGCACAAGATGACGCGGAGTCAGTTCGTCAAGAATACCATGACTACAATCACTCAGGCGGTGATTGAGGCGGCCCCTGATGCGTTTGAGCGGCCGACCATCTTACCGGGTAAATCCAATAGCGCTCTTGGAGGCGACGATTCCAGACCGTCGATCGAAGAGCGGTTCGTTTCGCGCCGACTGTCGTTTCGACCGCCGCCGAGAAACGAGGGAGACGGGTCCGGAGACCACTGCCACGACGAATGCGGGCCCTTGGTCAAGTCACCGTTCGACGGTTCGATGCGAGCCTGGGAAAGCCAGGTCGAAGTTGTCCTCAAAGACATTTACGCCTCGATCCGCGACGAACGATTGCCTCTCTTCGGTGCCGATCCGTCCAAGAATCTGGCGCCCAACACCCAGAGCGGTCTCTCTGTTATTGGTATGCTGAAGCGAACGCCTAGCGTTCTGAGTAAGGCCCCGTCTGAGAGTCAGGCATCTATGCGTGGGCGCATAGCTGAAAATGGCCGTGCCAATTCTTCCAGATGGAATTCGAAGAGCAGGTCACGACCTCGTATGGGCAATCCGGGCTTCTCTTCGTCGCGAACGAGCTTCGAGGACGGAAATTCCATTTGGAGCCCTACAATATCATCGGCAACGTGGAGTAAGCTCTCGCTGGGCCGAACGCAAACATCGATGTCTGTGGATTCGCTCAGCTCGTCATTCCGTGGAGGCGACTATCAACAGTCCATCGGATTTGCCAACGCCCTTAGCCAGGCCGTCATCCGTGACGATGAATCCTGTCTCGGGAAGGAGCCGTCCATCATGAGTGACGAACTCAAACCCGCGCAACTCCTCGACGACGAATCGCTCGAGCTCGCCGGTCCTCCGTGGGTAAAGGAAGGCATGGTCATCCATAAGCACCATCTTGACGGCATTGAGAAGAAGGCCAAGGACCGTCACTGGAACGAGGTTTTTGCCGTCATTCAAAGAGGCCAAATGAGTATCTTTTCCTTCGGCACTAACAAGACGGGACGCAAGGGCCGCGGTCGCAATGCAACCAAGGGTCCGGCTATTGTGGGAGGCGGCAACTGGCAGGAAAATGCCACTAACCTAGGCACCTTCAGCCTCCGACAGACTCTAGCATCTACTCTGCCACCGCCTGGTTACTCGAGAGCTCGCCCTCACGTTTGGGCCCTCAGCTTGCCCACGGGCGCTGTTCACCTATTCCAAGTCGGAACCCCCGAGATTAGCAAAGAATTCGTCACTACAGCCAACTACTGGAGCGCGCGCTTAAGCACACACCCTCTAGTCGGCGGTATCAGTAATATCGAGTATGGCTGGAGCGACGCCATCATTAACAACGCACTGGTAACGGCTATCAATGAACAGACCGTGGGACCGGCAACTGGGCGCCAGCGCTCTAACTCAAGGCCCGGAAGCAGCGCCGCCGGAAACCCTCGACCTAGTATGTCGAGCTTCCGCTCAGCTGCTTCACTCGACCACGGCTCCGGAGGCCCTTATAGCTCAGCCAGCCGCGGCAACAAGTTGCCTGGTGACAGGATCCACGTCGCCGAGTGGGCGCCACCAACACAGAGCATGCGGCCCAGTAACCTACCAGAAGAGGAGCAGCTCGAAAGTCTCCTTGCCTACGTCAAGGGCATCGAAGATGACCTTCAGACGCACAATCAGCTTCGTAGCCCGATGTTGCTCGCCTTCACACCCCGCGGCAACAACGCCGTTCGCGCCATGGCCAACTGGGAGCGCAAGAGTGCCTATCTCCTACGGGAGATTGTCAAGTTCAGGACATATGTCGACTGCTTGCAACAGGCTGAAACGCGCAAGACTGAAATTTACGGAGAGAGAGATTTGGCTCGCAGAGCCGCGAGGGGAGAGTTGGATGAGGGAGAGATTGAATTCGACGTCGAACGAGACATGCCAATCAGGACTTAGATGGACTTGGTGCATACACTATGCTACGGAGAACGAAGACGGGGGTGTTTGGCAGGGAAAACATGAGCAGTTCACGCGCGCGCAGAGAGCCGAGCCCACGACGATATGACCACATTGGACTCTAGGAGTTTGAGTTTGGGTGGGCGTCTTTTGGGTGTTGGTTTTGGCACACAACATCTTTTGTTTTGTCTTTTCTTTTTCACTTCTTTTTATTTGTACAAACATAGTTTGATACCCAGACTTTTGTCAACGAGCCCGCTCCCATGAGGTTGTCTACCGTTCGACGGTAGGGAGCCGCGGGGAAGGGGCTTTTTTTTCCCTCTCTTACTTCACAGTGGCTTCGGGTGTTTCTCTCATTCCGTCTGGTGGGAGATGTGCCTTGCCTTTATAATAGATAGGGAGGGGTTTCATCATGACACGAGGTCCGGCGGTCTCGCTGAGCGAGGGAGTTTGCAAACACAACACGGCACAAATCGGCCTTGCTCGCATTGGGAGGAATTGGCTCGTCTCTGATTAATGAGGTGTAAATAGTAATACGGAGCAGAAGGATAAGAAAAAAATATAACGGGGAAACAACTTTGGTTTTGAAAATGGTTTTCTTCGCCTCGGTCTAATGTATGTGTCTGTGAATTGGGGAGCCAGGAATTTCTACTTGAAGAGACCGCCATTGCGTAGGGTTTGAACGGCTCCTCACTTAATCTCCTGTTGCCTATGTAAACAAATTTAAAGTGCCTATGGAGTGATATCATCTCACTATCTACTTGTCTCATTAGCTACACAATGATCATTGAATCGACGTTCACCTCCTGGAGTTCATCCTATGTCAAATGAGTTACGTCCAATTGGTTGACACGTTCCCACCATCAGCATATTCCGCTATCCCCGCTGGGGGCGTGCGTGGGGCTCCCGGGAATGAACGAACTGCTTGCTATTCTTTCACGTCATCCATCCACTCGGCATTCGGTATTTTCTACCCCACCATTTTGTCAACCTCCAACTCACAGCTCTCCGATCTTCAACTACCTTACCTACACTAGGTTTCTTGTATCCGAATTGCCAACCCGATTTATTATCTGAGAGACTCCCCGCGGTTTCGAGGATAATCTAACCAAAGTCCATCTTAGATTTTCTCAAGGGTAAGCTGAGTCTCTGTTCAAGCTAATAGGCCCCCCCGCAGCGAAGACTTGCGGTCCTTTCACATGTCAACACACAGCGAAACTGATAAACTTCCTCTCCAGGCAACACACACATATTCCTCAGGACTCGGAACTTCAAAATCATGGATTCTTCACAGAGCGCCAACTCCCTACCGCCCGAAGCAATCGCCCTCGCGGGACGAATGTACGACGCCGCGCGGAAAGGGGATCTCGCCATCTTCCAGCAGGCGTTGCCGGCTGGGTTGCCGGCGAATATGACGAATGAGAAGGGGGATACGTTGGTATGTACTTTATACTTTCACGGTGCTATGAAGACCCTTTTGATCAATCAAACTCGCTAACAGCATTATTCTTTTTTGGATATCTAGCTCATGCTAGCCGCGTATCACGGACACGCGGACCTGGTGAAGTTGCTCATCCAGCACGGGGCCGATGCGAATCGGCTGAATGATCGGGGGCAGAGTCCCCTTGCTGGGGCGGTGTTTAAGCAGGAAGACAAAGTTATCGAGGTTCGTTCCAGTTTCTGTTGTGTTGTTATTTCCTGCCTTTACCGATTGAACTTGTTGGCCTCCCATCCCGTGCCTGGTTTCCATGGTCAATGCCATTTTCACTTTCCGGACAGAATTCTCCATCTAATATCGTCGATTTTAGGTTCTTCTCGAAGGAGGCGCGGATCCCGACTTTGGTGCTCCGAGCGCGCTGCAGTGTGTTGCTATGTTCAAGCAGGAGGAGAAGTGGCAGGCCAAGTTTGAGGCGGCCCCTGGAAGAGGGAAAGCTGTTGCGCAGGACTAGGAATGTAACTAGCTGATAGCATGATTCAATAATGATACCACACTCCGATTCACAGCACAAAAGTATACTGGGCTCTGGAAATCGCTTGCATCGTAAGTTTGAATATGATCTTGAGCTAACTATCCAGCGTCATGCACAGATTTTGCCGGCATTTTTATCTATCAAAACTCAAGCGAGGTTATTCCTACGTCCGCGGACGATCAGTTCTCGGTTTCTTAAATCAACAAGCATGCAGGGATATCACTGCCTCTAATACTGTGAAAATACATTGGAGCTTAGTCTCTTCAGGAAAGTGGCTGCAGCATTCTTCTCACATGCACCTCACTTAACTGGTGGCGATGCAGCAAAGTACTACAGTTGTTGTCCCTCCAAAGGCTTCTGCCCGTACACAACATGACTAGGCGTGATCAGCATTCGCGTAGACAATTATGAGAGGCATGGCGCGAAACGTACTGATCAAACATGGCATGGAACAGCCCCCGCTTCAACTCCTCTCTCACACCCTCCAACATGCCCAAAACATCCTCCTCCGTCCTCCCCAGCACCCCGCAAAACAGTCGTAGCGTGAAACCTTCCAGACCATCCAGAAGCTGGCACAAGTTGTGCATACCCACGTCTTTGAAGTGAGGGTCCTTCGGCCACGGCCCAATCGGCGCCTTGAACCTCTTGTGCACCACGTTCTGGAACCCGGCATCGTTGACCCAGCCCTCGAGTTGCGGACCGGGACGGGCGGTGCGGCCGATGGATTCGCAGGCTTGAACGAAGTCCTGGTTCCAGGTGTGCGTGGTGTATTGTGCGGTGTAGGTTCCGTCGTCGGAGTAGTAGAGGCCGTCCATGTCTTGAAATTCGACCCAGCCGCCGGGGTTCAGATGTCTGGACGGTATGGGGGTGTGAGTGAGGTGATGATGTTGTGGCATTGTGAACTTGGGGTACGGACGTACTCATAGATATTTTGCACTAGTTTAGGCCAGTCTTGGATGGAGACTAGCATATATCGTACAAAGATGTAGTCGAACATTCTGTTGCCCACCCATCGGCTTTCCACATCGTCGATTTCAAATTTGACGTTATGAGGTACCATGAGAATTGTCAATTCGTCTGAGTTTTGTAATTGCCGACGGAAGGCTTACCATGGTGGTTGAACAGCGCTCAAATCAACACCTATGATCTGCTATGCGTCAGATACGAATTCAAGTCATTTGCTGCACCTTGAGTGAGAAGTTATCTAATTGCATATTACCTCAGTGTTTGGGAATCTGTCACCCATTTCCACAGACCCTAAGCGAATCACAGACTCAGCTGTCTGCTGGGCATGCCCAGCTTCTAGAAAAGGGAAGGCTTACAGATCCCTGTCCCTGTACCGATATCTAGTATTCTGTGCAAATTCTCTTTGACCAAAGGTGCCAAGTAAAGTTTGTAACCGATCGACTTGAACATGAGGCCATGAGCCATATCCATACGATCAAGTTCGGGCTGCGGAATCATTAGCAAGTTTGCATGCTCGGATCTGCAAAAGGTTCTGCCGAGTGACTGACATCATCATTTGGGAAGGCGTATACTTCATTCATGTATGTTAGCATTCATATAAAAGATGTGTGTGTGTGTGAACGGGATGAGGAACGGCATACCACCCGCCCTGTAGGCATGATATCGTCGCCCGTATTCTAGAGGGTAGTTGACGATGGACGAAGTCATTGACCTTGTGTATGTTGACCTATTGAATCAGCTTGGGATCCCGAGGCTACAGATCGGGAGGCTGAACATTTGCTCGTCCATTGAGGAAACACCACTGTCCGTCTGCATCGTGCTGTCAGCGACATGGTCCTCAAATTGCAGCAGTAGATATGAATGTCTCATAGACGAACCGCATATCCATCATCAGATGGGAGATCCGAGGCCTGGCCTGGACTGGGCCAATCAATATCCATATCCGACATTTTCTCTAGAACATTTCATGAATCAAATCGAGTTGCTCAAGCTTCCCACGCAGAGCTGCGGCGTGAAATGGCGCAGTGCGGAAAGAATACAAAGGAACCAACCGACAGGTCCGGCCACAGGGGGAGAAACGCCGCTTTTTGAGGCCTTTAGAAGCGCCCATGTTGCCATAAAACTAATGTTACAGGGATTCGAGATTCAATTGCCGCAATTGATTGGTGAAGTCGAGTGATCACAACCCGCTTGTTGGTGCAGGCACGGCGCAGGATGCAGAACACATTTCCAGATCGGGGACCATGTCACGCACAAGTCCGCAACCCCGATCGGCTTTACTGATTAAAGAATACTTTGGTGTGTGTTGAGGAGTTGGCGGTTCACAGTCGACCCCATATCTGATCTGCTTTCCTACCCCTCTTTGCCAAGATCTTGCGACGATGCGGCTAGCGAGCTGAGTTGAAATTGTCTTCAGAGAGCTTCGCAACAGGCTTTTGATAAGTAGTCCGTGATCATGGGATTTTAGAAATTATACGATGAGATACTCAGATTTTCTCATAGACTGCTATGATTTCAACAACTGCTGGCCGGGAAGGCTCTTGTCAGGAGAGATTCAGTACGAGATACATGTTCAAAAATTGTCCCACGAAGTAGAGACGTGCGAGAAAAAGCCCACCATCTATGATTTATCGGCACATAAAACACAAAGAACGTTTAATTAAATTGCGTCAGTTGCGCCATGAATTAAATTACACAAACACATCAACAGCACTCGCGGGAGGGTGACGAGTTTCAACTAAGATGATGGTTTCCAGCGAGACTCGGTCATGAACTCTGGGTAAAGTACCTTGGTGAAGAGGCCAGCTGTACAAATTGGCACTTTTATCTCTCCCGAGAACTCTCGCTTGAATTCGGAAAGTCTTCGCGGGATGTAGACTACTGTCATTCGAACCTCTTTCAATGCGATGCTAAAGTTCGACATCTTGACATAGTATTATATCGCACTTTGATGCCACATTGTGACTCTATCCTTTCCTCTTTTTCTCAACTTCACTTTCCCGAAGCTGTCAACATAATCCAATACGAATTTCGGAAGGTTCGTAATCTTAGATAATATCTGTTCGCAGCCTCAAAACTGAAGATATCTTACGAGAACATCGCAAATAAACCTAGTTTTACCCTAAATGATCCTGTTTTGCCCTTCAAGGTACATTGACAAAGGACAAAAACAACGTACATCGTGAATGTCCTCAAGGCGACATGTTTCCACAGCCGACAATGGACCGCGAGGAAGGAAGTATACAGCAGTAAACCTCTTGGCCTCGAAGCGCCACATTCCGCATACGAATCCACCACCAGCTGAAAGCGCAGCTGGCGACATAAAACTCGATGAAGGTTTGATCCTCGAAATATTTGCTGTAGTGACATCTAAGACTAACCAAGCCATCCTCGTAATCTCCCCATAACATGCACTGTGAGACTTGCCAGCTCTCCATCTAGTATCTCGCATGGCTCAAGAACCTCTGAGGTTAAGGTAGCCATTAACATAAGAAAGCGTTGCAAGCCGCGATGATCGCCGCGGGGCGCTGTAGCCTGCACTACACTTTTGAAAAAAATCCTAGCGAATAAGGAAAGCCACAAGCATCCGTAGTCTTGCGGTGAAAAGTCAAATGGGTAGATCCAGCAGCGTACGCGTGACGTTGGGCTTGGCTTTCCACGAATCAAACATCTTGGCAAGGTGGCTTAAAAGGTTGTTTTTCCAACGTCACCCAGAACTTCACTGCCCTCTTCGAACGTCATCTTGTTTTATCACTCCTGAAAGAGTCACTAGGAATAGTGAGACATGCATTCAATTTGTTCCTACTCATGAATGTAATGTGGCACAGTTCTGTACAGATGCCCTGAAGACTCCTCAGTCGATACTCAAGTTAGGTTTCTATTTCGCTCAAATCGCCTGGAAATCAATATACAGTTCTTAGGTATCTCTCTAGCACCCACGAGGTCAGTGATTTAACCCTCACTCTAGCTTCCACGTCATCCCTGTATTATCAAACCATTCTTCAATGGCTGTTATGGCTTCTTTGTACTCAACCATGACCGTTTCCTTGGGCGCGAACGGCGGAGGTTTGTCCCAGGCGTGCTTCTCAGCCTCGACAACACGTGTGCTGACCCAGCGTCCGCGGGATCTTACTCTTTCCGCAAAGGCCTGTCCCTCCAATAGCAACATGTCATGCTCGCACATGCACAGGTGCACTGGTGGCAGGCGATCTATCATCTCATCTGTCATGAGACCAGGCGAGAGGCGCGGATCACCACGTTCGGACCTTGGTCTCGGGGGATATATGTACGACGCATCGAAAAGGTCAGTCATGCCTTTGGGAAGAGTCATTTCTGGCTTTCCACATGTCTTGCGCTTCTGGGGCCTAGTCATGGTCCAATCCAAGAGCGGGTAGAACAAGACTATGCCGGAGATGTCGGGAACAGGTAGTTTAAATTTGTATCCCCACCGATCAGGGTCCTGGAGAATGTTCCAACTGGCAAGGGCCAGTGTGCCTCCAGCCGAGAAACCCGACAACACGACCTTGTTTGTGTCGATGCGGAATTCTTCGGCACGTGCAACGATCTGAAGAATAGAGTCGGCGGAGTCCTCCACCGGTGTGGGGAAAGGGTACCCCGGGGCCAGGCGGTAGCTCACGGAGAAGACGACGGTATTGAGGGCCGTGGCTACGGCGCCAGCCCAGCGGGCATCATCAGTGCCCTGTCCGAGGATGAAGCCCCCGCCGTGGAAGTTGATTACCGCAGGGATCTTGCCGGTGGGTTTACTGGAGGAGTTGGTGGGAGGAAGATAAACATCGACCCTGATCTTCTCCTTGCCGGCCCACTCTGAGAGGGTAGAATCTAGCCAGATGACTCTATTCGCAGCCGGTGGGACGGGAGCGGACAGGTTCTGCAGGCCGAAGGCAAAAGCGGCCCCCGAGCGTAGGGCAACGGCATTGGCCGTCAAGCGCCATCGCGCGATATTCTCGAGTGGATTATCGTACTCATCGTCGGAAGCGCCGGCTATGCTACTGGCGACGCTATTGGCCTTGCTCGCGGCCTTACTCTCAGCTTTTCGTTCTTTCCTACTGGCTCTACTCTCCTTGGAGACGTTGGAGATGTTGGAAATGGTGCGAGTAAGCTTGCTCTGTAGCATCGGGAACGCGGACTGCGCGGAGCGCGTGTGGGAGTCAGGAGGATTAAGCTAGTGGGTATTGGTAAGGCTGGCAGGCAACAACGAGGGGCGATCGGACATTCAGACGGACAATGAATCAAATGTCTCAAAGGTTGCAAGCGGTGAGAGGGTCAGGTAAACAGTGGTGTACCGGGTGTGTCGGAACGGGTTCGATTGATAATAGGTCGAGGGGATGAGAAAGAGGGACGGAAGAGATGGGAGGATGGGAGAGAATGTGACAAATCAAGGGTGCGCAAGGAATCTTCGGGATGCGTCGTTGAGCAAAGGCTGTGGTCTGTAGAGGGCTAGAGGCTGCAAATGAACGGCAAAGGTGTTCCGCTGGCGGGAAGCTAAGGATCCCGGGCGGGTTGGAGGAAAAGCATCAGGTGTCGTTGACGTTGAGGGAGGGTTTTCTTGGCAGCGGTGCCTTGCCTTGCCTGGCTTGGCTTGGTGTGACTGATGTAATGTACGGATACGTAGTAAGGTATGTATGTACTGTGTAGATATGGCCGGTGTGGCTCAGGTAAAGATCGATAGGTAGCTGTGGCTGAGTTTGACGTCGTGGTGATGGAGCATGTTCGGTCGGACGGGGCGAATATCAAGGCAGTGTCTCTGTACGCGTGTTTAGGGGGTTTGGAAGACATGCAAATCTGAGACGAAAGCAAACAATCACAAAGCAATAACATCAGCCGAGGCGGCAGGCTTGGTGTGAAATTCCAAGGCAGGGAAGGAGGGCATCGAAATGGGATGTCATAATGAATATGACACCACCAAAAA